GTTCCTTGTCACAGTTGTGGAAAAAGTGGGGAAAAGACTTGATTTCAAACTATAGTCACATTACTTCTCCATTGACTTGACTAACCAAGATCATTATACTATCAACGTTTGTTACAGTGAATGATTGATTGTGATAGTCAAGATTTCTTCCTTCAAATTCAGATTTGCAAAATAAAAATAACATGCAGATTCATAATGTTGTATACAGTAGTTGTGTATATATAGAGAGATTGGTTCTTTAGTTTATGGTCAGTTCTTTGTTAGAACAAGAAACTCAATATTATTCAGTTGTACCATTTTCCTGTTGTTATTATAGGGCTTCAGAACCCATTATTTCAGGAGGTTAATAGAGTCCAATCCTCAAAGTAATGAATAATTGAGCAGATAGTATATTTAAGGGCAAATTCTTGACTCACTTTCATCTGCTAACTAATGTAAGGTGGTGGTGTATACAGTACAATCATATTTAGACATTACATTGCATATTATATATTTTTGTACACTCAAGACACTAGCACATGATTACTAGACTTTGCATCAATTTCTATAAATAGAAAATAATGCCATTGTTTGGAAGAAAAAGGCTAGTTTGTAGTGTGTCTCTTTGTCTTCACCCTTGTATGCTTTAAAGTGATTTTGAGGATTGGCAATTCTTGTTCCTATTGCTAAGCTGGAACATGTTAACGTTCCTTAGGAATGTTGGATGATGTCAAACCAGTTTGGTATGGAAGAGGGTTTTAACTTTTACTTGTTTTAGCATTTGTAAAGGGAAGTTTGTTTTAATGAAAGTTAGCGAGGCACCAAGAACAAATTTTAAACTCTGGTAAGTCAATCACACTATTCAATGGTGTTTTGTTCAGTATTATCTGTTTATCCTGGTTTGTGCAAATGTATTTATCAATATAGCAGGGAAACTATTTGCGTTTGGAACTTTATTTTTGCTTTTGCCCACTGAGTCTAAACAAAAGCTTTTTTTTGAAACAAAACATTTTGTTTCCAATGATTAAATTCCAGGTTTCGAAACAACTAATTTAAATTTAAACTGAAAACTTTAAATTGGAAAAATAAATACCAGCAAAAGATTGATCCCCGAGAACCACAAAGTGGGCTGAGCTATGGGTCATTCTGCCCCTTTCTGAAACTCCCTCCCAGGTTCGCTTCACTCATACCCTCTCTACCCGTTTTCAAAACCACCTCTTTGATCACGCTTCGTTCCCTTCCCAACTTCCCTATCTTCATTGTTCCTGTAAAGCACTTTGAGATCTTATATAATTAATAATATTGGCATTTGTTGAAGTGCCTCATCACATCATTAAAAACATCTGATTAAACAGGATTTATTGTAAAGTGTACTGACTAAATGTGACAGCAAATTTGCACGCAGCAATGTCCTACAAATAGCCATGAAGTGAAATGACCAATTTTAACTTGGGTTTGTTGACCCACAGGAAGAAACTTCCTTCTTTTTCCAAGCAGTGCCATGGGAGCATAAACTTCTCCCTGAACAGGCACTCTGTTTAATATCTTCCCCCAAAGATGAACACCTCTAACAATATAGCACTCTTTAACCCACAATCCCTGATGCGGAGGGAGGCAAGAGTGCAATCAACCGAATCAGGCTGACACCTCTGGCTTCCTATAAGGAAGTGTAAGTCTACATTGTTTTTACCTGTTTGGTTGGTAGTGAAGTTTAAAACTGGAGTGTGTGTCAGTCCTTTAAGATTGAATTGCACAAATTTGCATTAATGAAAATATTGTGGTGGCACAACATCTGTACAAATGTCAACTTGTCACATGTTGAAGCACAGGCACTAACTTGCCTTTGGAATTTTCATGCATGTTCGTCACCACTTGCTAACCTGAAAATGCGAGAGATTAAATTATAGTGTGGGTATTTTTTTTAAAAAGAGTTGCACATTTCAAACTGTTGAACTAAAATGGGGAAGAGAGGGGAAGGAAGGAAAGGAGGGTATCAGCCAGGTGCCAAAATGAATGAGAGGAAAGAAGTTTAAAAGAAGCATTTGTTCAAAAGCAGAAAGCAAAGTTCCTTAATAGCCATTGTATATTATTAGTCATGAAATGACCTTTTTATAGTATTGTAGATGCAGTTTCGCAAATCCTGAGACTGGGGTATTGATTTCATATACTTTCCACCCAAGTGAAACTGTGACCGCTTTGTGTAGGAGGAGACATTTGAGACTGCCCCTTACTGATGACATGATACATTTTGGTTTTAAATATTCATTTTGGCCTCATGCTATAATGAGATCTCAAGCAATCTTTATAAGTAAACGTCTGGGGCCAACTTTTTAGCACTGCAATTTGGCTTACCTTGTGAACTGTAAGTATCTTCAAACTACGAGTTTTAATATTTGAAATGTTTTTGCAATTCCAGTAATGAGATAACATTAAAGACCATTAAAATAGTTATTTTTTTTAACTGTTTCACCAATAAATAGGCAGTTTATTTGGGTGAAAGACCATCAGTGAAAACATATTTTTCACCTTGATGAAAATAATAATATGATCATTATGCACAGTAAAATTATGTATAATTAATTTAAAATGGATTTATTTTATGAGCAGGATTTGGGAAGATAACAATAAAGAAAAACTTGTATATTTGCTGCATAAGCAGACAGGGGACTCTCCTCACACATGTAATTTGTAGGTTCTGAAGGGCAAAGTGAACCTAGGCAAATTTTTCAAAGTTAGTTGAAAGAGGCTTATTGTCCAGTTGCAACAAACTGTAGGATGTTGTATTTGTTAGTTGGAAAAATGATGCTGGTCTCTTTGTGTCTTACCGCCCTGTTTAGAAATGAAACCTTTAAGCAGACAAAATGCCTTTGATGAAAAGTTTTGCTGACTGACCCTGACCTGTTGTGTGTAAACCATCCCCCTTTGTGTTAGTGACTTTATAAATGTTAGTTTTGCCAGCAACGAACACCACTTACAGTTCGAGTCAGAATTGAGTGACTTTGTGCTGAACATTTGTCTAAGGGAATGAGCTCAGTTTTGGCCGAGTGCAGCAAGGTTCGTTCCATAACGTGTGTTCTCATGTAACATTTTATTTGTTATAGTCGGGTGGGTTTTGACATAAGTTAGTGAATTAATCCTTAATACTGCAAAAGAAATGTAAGTTATTTATAGATCGAACCTCTGTTGTGGCTTGGTATTTGTTTTCACCTCTTTACCCACCACCCCCACCCCACCTTTGAAAAATATTGAGTGAGTGCACACACTAGTTAGGCATCCGTGTTAAGATTTCTACACCCCCCCCAACCCACCCATCCCGCTTCCTTTCATTATTCAGTGCACCGACATGTTAACCCGTGGTAAGACTTCTGCGAGGACTGGACGGTGAAAGTTGCAAGTTATTTTCTGCACAGCATATTATTTTAGGTTTCGTTGTTAGCCCAGTATGTCTGTTCCTTGTGATGTTTCCCCATGAAGGCAGATTGAAAGGAAACCTGGTATAAGTTGAAGGAAACATTGGACCACTCACTAAGATCCAAAATCTGTCCAGTTAGCCAGATTACTCTATCTTTATAATGTCTTAGTCTTAGAGTGTCTATATTTTTGGAACGAACCTCATAAATCATATAAAGTAAAATTCTCCCCACATCAGATAATTTATGCCTCTGTACAGTACCAACCTTAGTACGATAGTTATGGCCTTGAGCAACATGCTTATATTGCTCGGGATCCAATGTATATTCTGTGAAGAGCTTTGAGACGTCTCAAAGCCATGATAATAATAATATAATAATAATAATAATCCTTGCATTTGACATAGCGCTTTTCACGTCGGGAGGACGTCCCAAAGCGCTTCACAGAACACACTGTAAAGTGAATTGACTGTATATTTGTGGGCAAACGCGGCAGCCAATTGCGCACAGCAATGTCCCACAAACAGTCGTAGATTGAAAAATTACCAATTTATTATTGTTTTGTTTTTTGAAGGGATTATTATTAGGCGTGTGGAGTAAGGAAACTTGCCCAAGGTTTCGCCCTGTCTGGAATTGAACTCAGGTCTCTCGCTTGCAAAGCGAGTGCTCTAACCACTGAGCTACAGGACTCCACTCCGATAAGGCACTATATCAAATGCAAATATTATTATGGCATGAGATTGCTGTTAGGTTCGCATATTATTACAAAGTAAGGAAGGCCTAAAGTACTACCTACAAAATAAACACTACCAAAGCGTTGGGTAAACTGAAAGCCAATAAAACTTTTTTTTCTTTCCAACGCTTTCCCACTGTTGCTCCAACTAGTATCAGACTTGGCTGTATCCGCCTCGCGTGACCTCAGTGATGTTTGCTTGCCAAAGGGACTAAGTTTATCATTATTGGGAACCACAAAAAAACAGAAGGCCCATCAACCACCATTATGTCACCAGAATCTAATTTGTTCCTGGTATGCTATATTTGTAAATCTAACCAAATGAACCCGATCTTTCATATGTAAATTAGAATATGAGTTTGAATACCATATTGTGCTGCTCCCTCCATATAGCACGAATTGTCAAGGCAATAGAGATGGTATTTCATTGTAGAAAGGATATCAAGGCTGTGGTGTGGGTACAGAGGAGAGTCACTAGGATGTTACTTGGAATGAGAGATTCTATTTAAGATGACCAGCACACTGTAAGAAATTGCCTTCAATCGTATAATAATAATAATCCTTGCATTTGATATAGCGCCTTATCGTGTCTTCGAGACGTCTCAAAGAGCTTCACAGAATATATTGTAAAGTGAATTGACTGTATAATTGTGGGCGAAACACACCAGTCAATTGCGCACAGCAGTGTCCCACAAACAATCGTGGATCAGTCGTGAAGTGAGCAATTTATTATTGGGAGTTTTTTTCTTGAGGAATTATTGTCAGACATGTGGAGTAAGGAAACTTGCCCGATTCCTGATGGAGCGAAACCTTGGGTAAATTCAATGCCTACCTTTCATTGGTGATTTATCTTCTGCTTCTCTGTTCTCTTCTTCCAGATTGAATCCCTAACCTGAGGGGATTACGTACCCGCTGGAGGAGATGGCCACAATTAACATCTCCAAAGATGATCTCCAAGAACTGCAAGAGGTTTTTGAAAGAATTGGTAAGTAGGTCCATTGTATGTCTTGCAGTGTCACCTGGCTAGATACACAAACCTACCAAGCAGACCCACTAATTAGACACATTTCCACTTGGGAAGAGGTTCTGTAATGCTGATACAGACTGACACTGTTGATCCAAATTGTTCCTAAGCTTTTCCTTACATTACTTCTGATGTAAACTGCCAAACTGTGGGCAATTGTCAGCTGCAGTTTATAGTGAGTGGGTTGGAACTGTCCAAACCTGTTAGTTATAGGAACTTTACAGCCTCCAGAGGATTCCTTTGGCAACAGGATTGAAGACAGGCTGCAATGCAAAAAAAAAGGAAATGCAGGAAAATAACAACACCTGAAGTGAAATATCTCCTGCATTTCATGCCTTCATATATAATTTGACCAGCATCTTAACTCTTCTGAATTGGGAAATTGAATCATTTAACACTCCCAAGAGATTTTGACAGAACTTTTATTTTTCATGTCCTGCCAAATTACCACTGCACAGTAATGTATATCCTTTTTCTGCTTTGCATAAATATAAAAGGATTTGGGAAAGGTGTCACTGGTTAATTTCTAAAAGCTAATGGTCCTAACAAATGTGAAAGAAACATTGGAGGTTTTGAAAAGTTGAATTGCGGTAATTTAGAATGAAGGTAAATTTTGCAATGGGATATTTAGAATTTGTATAGTGTTTCTGATTATAATACAGACGGTTCAATGTTGAGCAGAGTAAAATACAGAGTTAAATAGAATGATACAGCATGGAAATGGGCCCAATTAGTCCATGCTGGTGTTTCTACCCCAGAGGAGCCTCCACCTTTCCTATTCTCCTCACCTCTACCCCGCTATTCCCTTAGTGTGATCCAATTTGTTGAGGTTGAAAGTATGCACATAAGGTTAGTTTTCTGCAACAAAGTGCGAAAAGTGGGTGATTTGAGCTACATACAGGAAGCAAACCTACCAGGCAGACCCACTAATTAAATAACTACTAACTTCAACTGCATCCTTTTTAAAGCCTTTCTGATTCGAATTGAAGATAACAAACAGAAATGTAAAGGGAGAGTACAAACTGGTGTGTGTCAACCTTGACTCGGTGTCAGGTTAAATATACTGGTACGTTGTGATACAGTGAGTTCAAATGCATACCTCATTAGTCTCCGTTGAGCTTAAATTCATACTGACAGACAGGCATTTTTCCTATTCCAAGATAGATCAGCTTGTGAATCAACAATTCTAAAATAATATTAACTTTGGGCTGAATTTTCACTACCCACAGTATTTAATACAAAGGCGCAGAAACCTAGATTTAGTGATGCTCATTTTGCTCTCTGACCCTGATTTCAAATTAGCAAAGGTTTACTCCGTTCCCTGAATTTTTCTACTAGATCTCGACAGCAGTGGCTTCATTAATGACTGTGAACTCCACGAGCTTTTACGGGATGCTGGCTGTCAAGTGCCTGGCTACAAAGTAAGAGAAATTATTGAAAAGATCGACAGGGACAAAAACGGCAAGATCAGCTTTGAAGAGTTTCTTTCAGTAAGTGTTTTCGTATTCTATATAAAAATTTTGAAGACTGTCACCCAGTAAAGCATCTCACAGTAAGCTTTGGCTTGTTTGAATCAGTGTTACCATCCTTTGTCAAGATGTGACTCGTACGCACTGAAGATATTTTGTTATAAAGATGCATGCTACACTGAATGTCTGCAACAGCAGCAACTTGCATTTATATAGCGCCCTTCACGCAGGCTACCGTCCTGGAGCGCTTGATAGTGGCAGATGCCGAGGGAGGGAGGGGGGAGGTGACTGTAAGCACATCAAAAAGAAAGGTCTTTAGGTGGGTTTTGAAGTGGAGAGGGAGCAAGGTGGTGGGATTGAGGGAGAGAATTCCAGATTTTCAGAGTGCAGTGGCTGAGGACACAGTCATCGATGGTGGAGGGGATGATGGACAAATGGTGGTTGGGGGGGGGGGGCTGGTAAGCAGATCGGGTAAATAGGGAGGTGCAAGGGCATGAAGGGATTTGAAAACAAATGAGAGAATCTTGGAATTGATCTGTTCAGTAATTGGGAGCCAGTGTAACCTGGCAAAGACTGGTGTAATGGAGTACGGAGTTTTGTGTGGGTGAATATCCAGCTGGCAGAGTTTTTAATTAATTGAATTGTGTATGATGGAGTTGGGCAGACCAGTGAGGAGGGCATTGGTATAGTCCAGCCAGGAAGTAACGAAAGGGTGGACGAGGGCTTTGGCAGAGAGGTATGGATGGAGGTGGGCAATGTGACAGAGGTGGAACAAAGCCAGGGAATGGATGAGGGGTAGAAAGGGAATCTGGGGATTGAGCCTGACACCAAAGTTGCACATGGGTTCGATGAGTTTACGGGAGAGCCCAGGGAGGTTGAGGTGTTCAGACCTTCAGGAGAGGAGGTATTGACAGGAGCCAAAGTGTATGGCGTCCGTTTTACCAACATTCAGCAGCAGGAAATTTGCGCTCATCCAGGCCTTGACGCTCATCAAACAAGCTGACAGGACATCAGCGGACTGGGAGTCACAGTAGCTTTGTGTGTCGTCCACAGACATGTGGAAGTTGACCACATGTCTGAGGATGACATCGCCAACAGGGAGCATATAGATAAGGAAAAGGGAGCCAAGGATAATAATAATAATAATCCTTGCATTTGATACAGCGCTTTTCACATCTTTTATGGGACACTGCCGTGCGCAATTGGCTGCCGCGTTTCGCCCACAAATATACAGTCAATTGACTTTACAGTATATTCTGCGAAGGGCTTTGAGACTTCTAGAAGATGTGAAAAGTGCTATATCAAATGCAAGGATTATTATTATTAATACAATACTTATTTACACAAAAAAGTTGTGAGAATTTGGAATGCACTGCTTCAGAAGGCTGCAAATACAGAATTGATTGGGATGTTTAAAAGGGAGATAGAATAGTAGAAATTTAAGGAATGTTAAGAAAAAGTGGGGAAATGGGATTAAAAGATCAGCTCTGAACTAAATAAAATGCCCCAAAACAAGCTGGAGAGCGAAATGGTAGATGTCTGTTTTTATGTTCCTAACTACTAGGTTGGTGACCGCGGGTCCTGACACTGTCACAGAAGCTGCCAGTTAGTTGCAACCAAGGTCGTCGTGTTTTGCTTCCAGAGATAATGTTCCCGTGCTGCTCGACCAGTATATAAAGCGACTGTGATTGATGTTGCATGATTTTACCCAGGGGAATTATTTGTAAAGAATACTTAGCAATTCACTTTGCTGGAAGATATTCCATTTGAAAAGTCATTATCTGCTAAGCCTTTTTGTTTTTTTTAAATAAATTGTCCGAAACAGGCATTTGCGGTACATGTTAAAAGGCATGTAACTGAACATGATCCATTCTTAATTTACCTACGTTTGCTTTCCCAGCAGGTCTTGTTCTGTGCGAGGTTTCTTCAAACTTAGCCTGATCTTTTGTTCTGTCAGTTACTTTTTCAACCCCTTCTGTATTGATTTCTTGGTTGAGTAGTAAGTTGAAATCTCGTTTTTTTTCTCTCTCTCAGCACCTTCGCATGTCTGTGATTCACAATAGGTTTGTTCCAAACAATAATTGCATGTTTTTACTTCCACCTTAAACATATTTACGGAATGTTTCGGTTGTATTTAACCAGTGTATTGATCCATCACAAAAAAACAGGATTTCTTAAAATTAAAATATTGTGATAACATCTTACTGTCATATTTTTAAAATGTATTTTTCATTCTGGTTTTAAATACAAGGTAAGAGTTCATGAATCTGCTCCTTCTCTTAAGTATATTTCATTTTCAATTAAATGCTGTAGGTTTCTAAAAACGATTTGTATGATATCGCTAAGTTGATAGAAGCTCCACTGGGAAATTCATCTTGTGCTTCCTAGAAAACGCCAGAATGATTTTCATTCAGTGAAGAAGAAAAATCAAACTATTGGTTCCCAAGTGGCAGCTCTTCACAAAAGAGTTGCGTGAGCTTTCTTTTGTATATAGTTGAAACATGAACTGCTGATGTACATGCTCCATTCTGTGTCATTGAAGCGTGTTGTGTAGTTAGGTTTTATTATATTAATTAAATCATATTACATTACATATTACTTTGGGGAATGCATTGTGTCGAATATAGATACTGCCTTATTTTGATCAACATTTGATTGCAGTTTAGTTTCAGATTTACAGAAGTCCAATTTTTGCAGGAATAAGTGTTAATGTTTATAACCTAGAGAGAAACCAAGGTTCAAGAGATGAACAGAACAGCTCCTTTAGAAAGGAGATCTATGCTTAGTTGAATGTGTTTGAAAGTTTGAACTTTAAAAAGACAAATCAGGTGCAGGTTAACTATCTCATAGGATATGCAAAAATGAAAATTTTAAGCCTATTCAAAATGATGTAAAGCAGGTAGGATGAACTGGCTTCATGCTCCACAATGCTAAACTCCTTGGAGAAAGGCAGCTTTGTTCCCTGCATTTATAAATAAAACATAACTTTCAGAGCTTTAAAATTGTTTGGACTACAGTGGTGTTATCCATGAGATCCTCATTATAGCCTTATATCCCAAAGATTACAGTTCCCACCTTCTGTATTAGGTCTTATAACTATCGGGCTGGACAGCAGGGGTAGGATAAAGCCTTCTTATTATTGTTCTATAAGCTGCAGATTAAACAGTTCTCCTCTTGTAGTAATGTTACTCGTAATAAGGTTTGTCACCATTGAGTTCTGTATTTAAGAATGTATTCTGTTTACTTGTTTGCAGACTTTGGGAAAAAGAAGGGAATATTTTGTAGGTTTATCTTACTAAGAAATCATACTACCGTTGCAAAGTCCAATTAAAGCTACCAAATTAATTGAGTATTGGCAAAAAAATCAAACAACATATTATTTTATTTTTTTTTTTTAAATCTGTAAATGTAAACTAAAAGGCATGACCTCCATCACTACTAGCTGGATGTAGCCATTGCAACACATCTTGAATGTGTTTGAAAACAAATCTGGTAAGCTTTGTTGGTACGTTCAACTGTGTCTCATTTCCATTAAAATTAAATCTCCTGTGGAGATGTTCAGCACCAAAGCTGGACTTTCCATTGCTCTTGCCATCAGAAAAGGGAAGAATTTAATCTTTCCTTTCTAAATGAGCTGTTCACCTCTTGCTTCTTGGATTCCCTTTAGGTTCTGGTTAAAGTTCAAGAAATATTAACACTTATTCCTGCAAAAATTTGACTTTTTTAAATCTAAACTAAACTGTTGAATAACTCTTGTCCCAAAATTATAATTTGATGACGGTGATTAATGATTACTATAGATATTAAACATCAGGTTAAACTGTAAAGGATAGCATGTTCTTGTTGCTAATGAGTAACGGACAGGGACATGGTGAAGGGCCCATTTTTGGTGGAAGCTATTCACAGTAAGACTGCATGGGAATACTAAGAATGAAAGGATAATTTGATAAGAGATTAACCTTGCTCTGAGTTCCTTATGAAAGAACATGTTGCCATCAATGTTTAGCTGTAACATTGAAAAAGAATACAGCTACTAAAATGTCATGATGTGTTGTACAGTGTGAAAATTTCACTCACCTTTTATTTACAGCACAAAACTCATCAAGACCTGTGTATAAATAAAAACTGTTTAAGATGCACTTATGCTTTTAGTAATGCCTCACAACTGAAACCAGCCACAAATAATACACTGATATGTGCAAATATGGCTTTAAATTCACATTGCATTCCTTGAAGTTAAGAAAAATAAGTACTAGTTGGGCATCCATTTTAGCATCCTACTTTATAGGCAAATTTGTTTATTTTCTTTACAGACCATATCTTACTGTTTTAATTTCTGGAGGTATGGGCACAAAATTGAAAAGATTTATGCGTTTATGTTTTCACCAGAAAAGCCTTCAGAGCATTTCTCCTCCAACTGTACGATTCCTTCCTTGGCTGAGCGACTATGTCTTTGAAACATACAGTTGATTAATGAATATGCTATTTGAGATATTTAGAAACCTTTGGAATTGCAATTGATCAAATATTACACTAATCAAAGGTGAAGACAATATGCAATAATAAGTATAGTTGGGCACAATTCAATGGCTTATGGGAATTAAAATGGACTAGAATAAAAAGCAATAAATGTAAAGTATGCTGGTATTTAAACAGTGTAAAATCTCACACCAAAATGGTATGTGTATATCAAGAGTGAAACTGTTGAACTGTTTCAATGGATGCTTGGCTAGTGAGGTGTCAGACAATTATTTATAAATTTCAGTTAAACTGAAGGCTCACTAGTGACTCATTTATTCTCAGGTTTTCCAAGAGTTGAAAAATAGCGACATTGCTAAAACCTTCAGAAAGGCAATCAACAAAAAACAGGGGATCTGTGCCATTGGAGGAATGTCTCACTTGTCCAGCGAAGGAACCCAACATTCCTACTCTGGTGAGTGCTGTAGTTGCCAGTGAGATTGGGTGCTGAACTACATTTCCACAAGACTTTCTGTTCAACATTTTATTATGAGTTGATGGGCGTGTAATGCAATTGATAGCATTGTTTATGGATTCAAATAAGTATAGTTTCATTCATTCTGGAGACCATAAATTTATTTAAAAATTGTTTGGAATAGCAGAAAAATTTGGCAGCAAATATCTTACTATAGTATTGGCTACACTGGAGACTGCATAATCTATTACTTTCTGACCCGGTTTAAAAACTCAAAATTTTCCATATCTGTTCGATTTTTGTAGGCATAATTCATTTTATTCCAGAGTTTGAGCAAATGAGGAAGAATGTTAAATTACCTAACTTTGAGTATGGGCTTCCTCATTCTTTGTAGTTCGACCTCATGTACAAAGCTCCTTTGGAATTTACTACTCCTTTTGTCTGGTTGGATGGTGTACCATTTCTGTGTAGCACATGAAAAAGCGGATGTTAATAGAATTGGAAAATGGAACTTTCCGAATCTTCCTTTGTTCCAACTTCAAAGCTCTTAAACTGGTATCATTTTTTCCATCTTAGCAGTAGTCATTTTTAATGAAAAACTGCTGTTGACTCTATTTTTGTCAGGGGTTCAAATAAGGTTTGCTTATTTTTTTTTCTTTTCTCTTCCAGTAGGCACTGGAAGAGGTAAATGACTCAAATGGTCAGGCCTGGAATATTCTTGTGTTTTAGCTCATCTCTATAAAATGTTCTCCTGGAAAACTATTTTATTTTAATGGAGTTCGTTCTATTTTCTTCGGGTGAGGAGAGGAGGCTGTTTTCAATAATAGCTTAGCTTGACATCCTTGCACACAATGTGATCAGTAACATTTTAGTGAAGAATTCATAAGTTTAGAACCATGTAGGTTCAAACTTTCAAGTGCACATAAATATCTATGCACGGAAGTACCACAAGTGTATTTCCATTTTTAGAGGCCATTTTGTCAGCATTGCTCACATTTATTTTTAAGTCACTTTTACAGATAATTCTTCAAGTTCATTTCAAGCACTAAGTAAATTGAATTCTGCTTTTTTTAATTGAACAGAGGAGGAAAAATATGCATTTGTTAACTGGATAAACAAAGCCTTGGAGAATGATCCTGATTGTAAACATCTCATTCCTATGGACCCCAATACAGATGCTTTGTTTAATGCTGTTGATGATGGCATTGTCCTCTGGTAAGTCACATCAATTTTAAACGGTAGCATTATGTTTCTTAAACAGTGACATAAACTACCTTTATTCCTAGTGCACGGCCCAGTATGCTTCAGGCAACTATCGACCTTCAGTTTTGTTCAATAAAAATGAAGGAAACCTTTGAGTAGATAAAGGATAACTAAGCTTATCAAACACATCTCTGCAGGTCATGCACATTTTACATTGTTGCTATTTACCACACGCCTGTATTTTTTTAAGTCTACAACTGGTTGTACACAAAACTTTGAAGCTAATATTGTAATGTCCAGCTCTATTCAAATTGAAGATTTAAAACCCGCCCTTTTTGGCACAAAGTATGATTTTGATTGACCTGTAATTTAATCCATTAGTTACTGCACATTGGAATATCCAGTTAAAGATATTTTATAAACTAGATTTTGTCAAGTGCGGAAGTTGTTCTAAATCGATGATAAATGTTCTCCTTCCTGATTTTCAGCAAAATGATTAATCTCTCTGTTCCGGATACAATTGATGAAAGAACAATGAACAAGAAGAAACTTACACCATTTACTATTCAGGTAATGAATTTCAGTTCCTATTTTCTGGATAATAGTTACTGTGTTAAATGATTTTGTGAGGGGTGAATGCTTTCTGTGCGACACTGAGAAGTCTGTGAACCATTACTGTGTGTTCAACTTCCACATGCCAAAAGGAATTTGGTTTTGTTCAATAGGAGTGTTGGAAAAGCTGAAACTACCTGGGTCGGAGGCTTTAAAATAATATAATTATAATCCTTGCATTTGATATAGTGTCTTATCCCATATTTGAGACGTCTCAAAGTGCTTTACAGAATACTGTAAAGTGAATTGACTGTATATTTTGTGTTTTAACAGTGTTCAAGCAATGTCCTCCTCCCCAGTCTACCATCTTTGCACCTGTATTCATGGGCACGCAGTTAGATCCATTTTTAGCAGTGCACCGCACCAAAAAAGGGTTGGATCCACCACATATCTGTTTTCTATTTGTACCCAAAACAGTTCAAATCCCTTTCTATGGTCTGTAGATGGGAAATACCTTTAAATGTTACCAGTTACATTTGAGTTTAATTGTATAATTGCTTCAACAAGTTCTACTTTCTTTAATTAATGTTGGTCATAGCAGCACATTCCTCTTCAACTATCACTTTGGCCATCAGTCAGGTCCATGTCAGTTTCTGGCTTTGAAAGTTTGGCTGACCTACTCAGCAATTCCTTCCATTATTGTGCAACTGATGATCAGTATGGCAGGTTTATCTCCTGGATAACTACAGTGTTTCTGACCACAGGAATGTAGAAGTTAGATTCTAATCCATGCTCAGTCCCAATTAGGAACAGATGTGCAATCCCAGGTTGATCTCCAATCCCAGGATAAAGAATTGAATGTGGGTTGCAGTGTGAGGCATCAGCTGGTAGTGCCACATTCCAGGTTAATGAGTGACCAGGGAAAGCCTCTGATGGGAGGAGGAGGAAGACTGTATCCTTTGAGCTTCAAACAATCGCTGTCTGTGATAATGACAGACCAGCCCATCCTTTGGGTTGAGCCTTTATTACAATGTGCTAATCAGATGATTAGAGTTTCTACATTGCACATTGTTGTGTAATATTGCTAGCATCTCCTATCTCAGAAACATTTTGACCTTATAGACTCTATATCAAATACAAAGATTATTCCTATTTCTTTCAACAGAATATCTGTGATGTGTCATTTACTTACCCACAGGGCACAAGCTATTTATTTGACAAGTTTAATCATTTAGACAGTAGTGCCTTGATAAACACTTTGTCAATTCATTACTAATGCAGGAATGTGTCCCTACTTAACTCCCTAGCAGGGAAGACTTGCTGGAGACATTTTCTTTATACATTCAATGGAAACTACCAGAGCCAAATGTGGTAGATTCCTCTCCAGACAATTGTCAGTGCAATTGGAGCCTGATTTATGTTTTTAATAAACATTCTTGTAATTGACCTGGTGATTGAATGATAGGTGCTTTGGTGTTGCTGTGTTCACTGGAAGCAAGAAGAGATAAATCCTCAGAATCTCATAGTTAATTTTGATTTACTTTGGCTTACTTATATTTTTTGGTGGTCAGAAACAGCTGAATACAAATTTTATTTTGCCAACTGTGGGAATAGTTATTCTTATTGTTCAAAACAATTTATGCCTTTGAATGTAAAGCTTCCTCTCACCTTGCTCCCTAGCAAATCTAATGTTGCTTGGGAATAATATTTATTGTTTTAGTTTTCTTGTGGCTGTTTGGTGTCCAAACAGTGGTGCCTCTGAGGAACAAAGGAAGGTGTGCGTCAGAATGAAACCTTGTGTATAATTTAGTGACAAGAGAATCACCAGCTGGCTAGGGAGTGAATAGTTTAATAGCACAGTGTGCCTTTGTGGGATTATGGCAATTCCCCTTTCCGCGTGGAGGGTAAATTTCTTTAAAATGAACAAGAGGAAGAGGCTGGTAAATATGACTCTGTAATAGTTTGTGGTTATTGAGAAATACAGATCAGATGGGCCCAGGTCAAATCCTTAGTTTGTGCTGAATTCGCTGATCTCACCTGAACACTCAAATTGGACTATGATGGGATATTGCATTGTACATGAATTGCTAATTTTGGAGTCCTGTAGCTCAGTGGTTAGAGCACTCGCTTTGCAAGTGAGAGACCTGAGTTCAATTCCAGGCAGAGGGCGAAACCTTGGGCAAGTTTCCTTACTCCACACGCCTAATAATAATCCCTCCAAAAACCAAAAACAACAATAAATTGGTCATTTTCAATCTATGACTGTGTGGGACATTGCTGTGCGCAATTGGCTGCCGTGTTCGCCCACAAATATACAGTCAGTTCACTTTACAGTGTATTCTGTGAAGCGCTTTGAGACGTCCTCCCGACGTGAAAAGCGCTATATCAAATGCAAGGATTATTATTATATATTTTGGGCCTTCCTTTTTGAATTTCTCTAGCACCTTGCTCAAGCAGCTATTCTTCACATATTAATGCAAGAACTGGAGGCAGTGCACTATACAAATATCATATTCTGTCTTCAGCCAGGAGAAATTTCCTTTTTTCAAACAAGGGGCTAAGGATCTTTGAAGTCTATCTGAACAGGCAGCTGGGACTTAAGATTGAAGTTGATGAAGTTGAAGTATATCTGAGAAAATATATTTTTAAAAAGTGTTAATAGCTTTCCAAAGCCAAATGTCAACTATGATAGAAAAGGTGGGGAACCATTTTCTTGTGTTTAGCTTGTATTCCTCTGAGCTAACCTGGGAAGTGGGGTGTTGGTTGTTGAAGGGAAGTGGGGTGTTGGTTGTCTTCAGCTCGACCCCCACCCCCAGAGTGGCATTGATGAAATCAAGAGCTGTTCTAACAGATTGTAGGTAGCATTATTATTTTGCTCATTAATATTGTTTGGTACTTTGTCTTTGGGATACACAAAAGCGGTCACTTAAATGTAGTCAATCAACCACCGCCTTTTTTTATTATTTACGCAGGAAAACCTGAACCTCGCTTTGAATTCTGCCTCTGCCATTGGTTGTCACGTTGTGAATATCGGTGCAGAAGACTTGAGAGAAGGAAAACCTCACCTGGTTTTAGGCCTTTTGTGGCAGATTATCAAGATCGGTCTTTTTGCTGACATTGAGCTTAGCAGAAACGAGGGTAAGCACCAGCTACTGAATATACAGCCACATCCGTTAGATTGTACCCAAATATGTTCAAGAAGTTTCAAATTTAATGAATGAATTACTGGAAAGTAAAACCTTAAATTGTTTTAACTGGTAGAACACAAATCTCCTATATGTTGGTGAAAGAATTTTTCCCCCATCTTCAAAAAAAACATTTTTCTAGACCGAATTCCACCCTCACCTGACCTCCATTTTGCCAACCCTAGCACACTCTCATGTATATACCCACACGGAGCAACTGGACATGGGAACGCGACTATTTTTTTTAACCCCTTGTATCGTCCCCTGCTGAGATCAACTAACTCCTCAAGCCGAAAATTGAACCTGGGAGATTTTAGGTCTGTACACTTCAACCCTACACAATGGTTTTACTGCTGTCATTAGGAGAGCAGTAAATTTACCACTATAGGTTTCCATCACAAGTTGGAGATGTGATGGAGTAGTTCAGTGTGCTGCTGGCCTCTTGTGGCAGTATTTCAAAACTGCTCATTTTTTTTTCGCTGACTGGTTTGAGCATTTTGGATATTTCTCTTGTATCCAACTAGCTTATTCAGTGTGTACCTGCCTAACACTGGAAAGATGATAATTAATAATCTTTGCATTTGATGCACCCTCACCCTGACCATTTCCCTCTTGCTCGGGTCCTGACCCAACTGTACAGCGCCTTGGGACGTCCTCCCGACGTGAAAGGCGCTCTATAAATGGAATCTTGTTGTTGTTGTTGATATAACACCTTATCAAGTTGTTGAGATGACTCAAATCCAGTGAATGTTTTTGATTAAATCAATATTTTAAATTAAATATTTTAAATAAATTGAGATCCAGTGACCAAAGGCTCATCTTCATCTGATCTCTTTTGTAGTTTGGTTACATTTTGAATGGAATACAACAATCCTTTTGTTATTTCTAGCTTTGAATTTTTGACACTTCTAGTGAAAAAACTTGATAAGTTGCAACATGGCCATAAAATCACCCAAAACTCAGTGAAATACAAGACAAGGCTTAAAATACATCTGCAATAATTGCAACGTTTCATTCTGTGCTTTGATTATTTTTAAGGTCAATAACTTTTAAATCTTTTCTAAATCTCTCTTCCCACTGAATTTCCTGAGATACCCTTTGAGGAGATTCCTAACTTGAATTCAATGCTTCCCCACATTATTCTGAGATTGGTTGGTGGTGGGGAGGGAGAAGGGGAGCAATCATAAACTAGTATTAATGGTTTAACAAAATGATAGTTCTCACAAATAGCAACTGAATAATCAATATACAGTTTTCCATCACCTGTGGATTCACATGCATTCATTATGAGATTTCTCCTGTTTATTGTGGAAAATGTGGATGAAGATTTAATGGAGCTACATTGCTGTATTGCAGTTTTGTACTGAATCTAGATTCTTTTTATGAGTACAAAAAAAAATTAATGGTTGTGTAGCGATTGTCACAATTAAACTTAAACCTCTTCCCTGTAGCGTTGGTTGCCCTGCTTCGTGATGGCGAGAGTCTGGAAGATCTATTGAAACTCTCCCCAGAAGAGCTGCTGCTACGATGGGCTAATTATCATCTGGAGAATGCAGGCGCACAGAAAATTAATAACTTCAGCTCCGATATTAAGGTACTTGCAAAGATGAAATTGTTTGGTTTGGAAAGCTTTACTTTGCAAATAATGGAAAAGCTTTCTGTGGGTGGTGTCGTGCTGTTCACGATTATAATAATCCTTGCATTTGATATCACATCACATCATCATGATGTCTCGAAGCACTTCACAGACTATATTGTAAAGTGGATTGACTGTATTTTGTGTGTGAAATAGGAACAGTTAAGGGCAGCATTTTCAAGTTTAGCTGCTGTTTGGTAAGCTCCTAATTTACAGTTTTTGTATAGAGACTGACGCTGATTTGTTTTGCTATTCTTGGTTTACCTAAAATCATTAGAAAGAATGAATTTACATTTCTGTAGCAACCCTATCACGCCAAAATGTCTCAAAGTGCTATGCAGTTAATTTCCACTTGACTGCATTGGGTGAAAATATGGCACTTAATTGTGCCTGAAACCATAACCACAACCGCTATTTGTGCCTGTGACCACAATAGCCACAATGAGAATAAATGATCAATTTGTCTGGAAAGCTGTTGATCAAGACACCAGGAGAAACTTTTGAATACCAAGTGGGATTTTTAACATCCAGCTGAAAAGGCCTTAAATTAATGTCTGCCGTTAAAGACAGTTACAATGCTTAGGTCTGATACCATTTCTCTCTTGTCCCTTTTTAATGCTTTCTCAGGATTTCTGTTCTGATTCTTGTACTGGATTTTCAATCCTTTGCTTCCCACCAGTTTACAGACTTCAGTAACTTCCTCACAGGTACCCCCTGTCCTGCTTTCCATTATAGTGGCTGCCTTTATCCCCATCACATTCGAACTTGACATTTTAAGCTTTGTTCTTACATGCTTACATTACATTTCATTACTAAAGTAAGTTGCCGATTTCAAATCTTGTCTTTCTGCGCATGCCTATGTGTATAGAGAGATAATTATAAGTAGTGTAGTTTTCAATGTCTCCCTATTTTGTTTGAGTTTCAACATTAAATACTTTTTGGTTTTAGGATTCAAGGGCGTATTTTCACCTCCTCAATCAGATTGCACCGAAAGGTACTAAAGAAGATGAACCACGTATTGACATTAGTATGTCTGGCCTTAATGTAAGTGCTTCCAATTTTTTTTCAAAGACGTAAAAGAATTATTCCAAAAGAATCGATGGCGCATTTGAAAGATGACAGCTTTTGAACAATAAAAACTTGTATTTATATAGCTCCCTTCATGTGGGGTAGTGTCTGGAGTTGTTTGAGCTTGACATTGAGCCAGGGAGAGCTGGGAGGTGACCGTAAGCATAATTGAAGAGTAAGGTTTTCAGGTCTGATTCGAAGACTGACAAGGAAGGGACGAGGTGGAGAAATTGAGGCAGGGAGCACCATTAATATCGATCAAATATTGTCTTTGAATGTTTTAAGGCGGTCAAGATATTTTGGTGAAGATCATTAAAGTTGGATCATCAAAGTTAGTACACACTCACAAAATAAGTGACCCAGATTAAAATTTATACTAACGCCACATACAACTGGAAAGCTTTCAAACCTTTGCTGAAAAGGATCAATATAAAAGGGTAAAGTGGAATGAGCTGATTATTGGGATTAGAGAGTTTAGAATGAGTAGAGAAGCCAGCACTAGCATAAACTTAATGGGGCTAAAGGAAGTTCTCCAATGCTGTTCAGAAAAGAAAACGATGCATGTTTTAAACCAGATTAATGAGTTGTGAAGAATGTTTGAACGATGCACCATATCATTTTACTACCACTTATTCTCTGGTTTTGATTATCATAGGAGAAAGATGACATGAAGCGAGCAGAATACATGTTGCAAGAGGCAGACAAGCTGGGCTGCAGACAGTTTGTCACTCCAGCTGATGTTGTCAGCGGGAACCCTAAACTCAATTTGGCATTTGTGGCCAACTTATTTAACAAGTATCCAGCTCTACAGAAACCCGAAAACCAAGATATTGATTGGAGTCTGCTGGAAGGTAAAACTACAAAGTTGAATTTTGTTTGTACTTCTAGAAAGCAGCTTTGACTTCACTGAAAAGGGATTAGATCAGTTCATCCTTTGTAAAAACAAAAGGCCACTGAAATAATTGTAAGGTGTTTTAACTTCCTTTTTAAAAAAAACTTAATTTGCTTTGTTTTTATTTAGCTTATTATCATTAATCTTGTTACCCTTTTTGAAATGATAAATTAGCACTTTGGGTGTAAGCAGGCTCTCTCCATTTTGCATTTCTTCACACACACACACATAATCACAATTTCCCTTAAGGTTTATGATTATGCAGAAAGTCTCTGGCATTTATGTAACTGTTACTGGTCGAAATCCAATTTCATTCGGTTTATTCCTCTTTAGATAATGTCTTGTGTATCATTGTAAACCTTTTGCACTTCAGGTGAAACCCGTGAAGAGAGAACTTTCCGTAACTGGATGAATTCCCAAGGTGTAAATCCACAAGTGAACCACTTGTATAGGTAAGTGGAATTTAGAGATGCAACATTTGTCCTAAACACGAAGAGATAACTAATCTTATTTATTATTCCACTGAACACAGCCAATAATAATGAAGAACTTTTCAACATGTTTTGGGCAGCAAAAACTGAACCTTGAACTTTTGATAAGTAATCAGTTCTTTCGTCAAGCACACAACCTGACGTGTATTCATTCTCTCAGATAAAATTTATAGCAACAGTCATAACAGTCATTTCATGACTTTGTGGACAATGTTGTGTGCAAATTAGCTACAATGTGTACCTACGAACAGTCACTACATTTTACAATACATTTTGCAAATTGCTTTGAAATGTTTTGATTACTTGATAATAATAATCCTTGCATTTGAAATAGCACTTTTCACGTCTTCTAGACATCTCAGAGCGCTTCACAGAATATATATAATAAGTGAATTGACTGTATTTGTGGGTGAAACGCGGCAACCAATTGCATACAGCAGTGTCCCACAAACAGTCGTGGATTGAAGTGACCAATTCATTTTTGTTTTGTTTTGTTTTTTTCTTGAGGGATTATTATCAGGCATGTGGTGTAAGGAAACTTGCCCAAGGTTTTGCCCTAGGAATTGAACCCAGGTCTCTCGCTTGCAAGGCGAGTGATAGGATGTTATATCAAATGCAATGATTATTATTGAATATTAGCATGATTCTTCAGTGACCTTTGGAAGTGTAGTTGTATGTTTCATCAAACAGTAGCTCTGAAAAGTGATGTACCATCCATGAATTTTTGGATTGATACGGCATTTTTAAAGTGTAATTGTGCAGTTTTGTTTATTTTACAGTGACTTAGCAGATGCTCTAGTGATACTGCAGCTATATGAAAAAATCAAGGTGCCAGTTGATTGGGATCGAGTGAACAGGCCACCATATCCCAAGCTAGGTGCTAATATGAAAAAGGTGAGCACTACTGCTCTAAAGGCAGAGAAAATCATTAGGCAAATCAACATATTGCATCACTCAAAAATGTTCTTTTTTTTCAGCTGGAAAACTGCAATTATGCTGTCTTCTTGGGAAAGGATTCAGCAAAATTTTCTTTGGTGGGCATTGGTGGACAGGATCTGAATGATGGCAACGAAACATTAACCTTAGCTTTGGTCTGGCAACTCATGAGAAGGTAATATTTCCTGCTAAGTGGGCTTCAGTGAAGTACCTGTTTAATTGGTGTAGTGTGTTTTGATCAGACTTAAGATTACTTGAAAACTTGCGCAAATAGAAAGAACTAGCTTTGTAATAGTTTGGAGCTGCTGTAACTTGAATCTTAAATTTCAAGGTGGGATTGATATTCTGCTGGCAACATGATTATGGTTTACTAGACATTTGCTAAATGCTAAAATAACAGTTGTATTAATAAACATACACTTAAGTGCTAACATTTGTTGTTAAAGGTACACACTGTATGTTCTTGAAGAACTTGGTGATGGGCAGAAAGTCAATGACGACATCATTGTCAAGTGGGTGAATAAGACCTTGGCAGACGCAGGCAAGTCAACAACCATCCAGAATTTTAGGGTAGGTATTTTGCGAAAATGTGAAAAATCACCGGTGGTTCCCAATTCATATACCAATCCTCAATTAAACAAGTGGGGTGGACTGTTGCCAAATCATTCTGGCAGTTATTTTTAAATGGTCTTTAGGATGAGGACAAATGTAGTTTAGAATGACTCTGACTGAATTTTGCTCTATATTGATAGACAATCTACTCCTTGGGCGTCGTGGGCCTAGTCAGTGAAATTGCTACATTGGATAAAGCTAGGTTGAATTTATGATATTGCTATGACTGGTGTAAACAGCCTAACTGGTGTGATTCTCAACCTAATACAATATAATATTATGCTCAGGACAAGAACATTAGCTCAAGTTTGCCTGTTCTGGACTTGATTGATGTGATTCAGCCTGGCTGCGTTGACTATGAGCTGGTGAAGACTGGGGATCTGTCTGATGAGGATAAACAAGACAATGCCAAGTATGTAACTTGAAATCCAATTGCCACTTTAACTATGGTTTGAATCCTACGTTTCTGTGTAAAGATAATTTGATTCATCAGTTTCTTACTTTTGATAACAAATGAGATCGACTTTGTAGAAAATCCTTAAGCGCATTCAGATGTTCTTCTATTGTAAACGAAACATTCCATTTGAAGTTATACAATGCAATTTCAGTTGCAATTATTAGGTTATTGTAGTTAGTATGACATTGTTCTCAAAAGTTGCACCATTTATATAAGTAGCATACACTTGCAATTCAAATATTCTACAGGAAGTGCATTTCTTTACTAATCAGGCTACCCAAGAAAGCTTTTTGAATGCATTTATCTAAACATTTATCACTGTGCCAATTTCATGTCATGGAAAATAAATTTCAAATGGTGGGTTTGACATTGTGATGTGTTTATCAACAGATATGCTGTATCAATGGCTAGGAAAATTGGAGCCCGTGTATATGCTCTTCCTGAGGACCTGGTTGAAGTGAAACCTAAGATGGTTATGACTGCTTTTGCCTGTTTAATGGGAAGAGGAATGAAGAGGGTCTAATAGATTGCCAATTCTCAAGTGTCACCAGAAGCAAATGACTGCCCTTTTAGATATTTCCAGGTTGAAATAACAATAATAATCCTTGCATTTGATATAGCGCCTTATCACATCTTCGAGACATCTCAAAGCGCTTCACAGAATATACTGTAAAGTGAATTTGACTATATAGTTTGTGGGCGAAATGCAGCAGCCAATTGCGCACAGCAGTGTCCCACGAAGTCGTGATTGAGTGACCAAATTATTATTATTTTTATTTTATTTTTTTGAAGGGATTATTACCCCCAGAAAAGCAATCTGCCAATCAACTTAACAACCGGGTTCCTACTTACTGCTAGGTAAACAGAGGTGTGTGGAGTAAGGAAACTTGCCCAACATTTCACCCTGCCCGGGAATCGAACCAAGGTCCTTTCGCAGGCGAGCGCTCTAATCACTAGGCTGCAGGATTCCAATACACTGTTGGCAGAATTAGTTTTGTTTTTGCTTTGCAAGACTAGAACATGATGCTTGGGAAGCAGAGGATTGCTGTTTTTTCTCCCCTAAGTGGTGGTAATTCATTCATTTAGCAAGGTACACAATGAATTAATTCATGTATAAATGAAGACCATGGATATACATACTATATTATATCAGCATTTTGTTTTTCCCTCAATTATACATTGGTCTTATCTTAAATGTGGTCAGAATTATAACTGACATTTTTTTAAAAAAAGCTGGCTTTTGACCATTTGAACCTAAGATATTTGGGTTTATATTTGAGGTATATCTTCTGTTGATTTTGAATAAAAAGACTGAAGATTTTGTTTTTGGACTGAGAATGTGACTCTGTTGCTGCCCTGGATCATTTGCTGTTGCATTCCATATAATGAGCATTCCATTATTTTTCTATATCCTGCACATACCGTACACATTATAGAATGGCATTTGTTCTTCAATCACAATAGAAAGTGTAAAGGAATTGCATAGCCCTTCTAAGCATCCATTAAAAACAATGATTTAATACATTCCATTATCCAACTAATTACGACACAATTTATTAAGCATCTTATTTTTTTTAAAAATGCATGAGGGAGAGATACATTTTATTGAAAATATTATGCATTCATATTTTATTACGGAACGTGCCAAAGTTCTTATATTTGGACAACTGCATCAAAATAACATGTAACTGAAAAATAGAACTCTGAACGTGCTCTAGTCATTACAAGGCCTACAGATGGGAAATTCTGAGTTTTTTGCAGGGATGAGTTCAGCATTTACTAACCCAGGTTGTCGATGCTTGGCAAAGCTTTCTATAATATATGAAAATGGCGGCAAGAGTTGGAAAAAATAAACATTTTGTTATAAATGACATTTATGGTTTTTCCAGTGTTATTAAAATATAACAGTACTTTGTTGCAGCACAACCAGATTGAATGATCATTTCATTTTCTCCTCCAATGCATCATTTAGCATTTTTAAAGAGTTAACAGGACCAATGATTATTTCTGTGGAGAATTCTTCTCACACATTCCGTGCCCCCCATCTCTTCCTTTGAAAGTACTAATTCCAACTGAAAAGAGCACGAATAGTCTCAACAACAACAATTAGCATTTATGCAGTGCTTTTCTTGTAGGATAACATCTCAGAACACATCAAACTCAACTCTATGGATGCAGCACTAGTGCACAATTGTTCACATTTTAGGACAGTTTGAGAAGAAATTATGTTGAAGCCTTAATTTGGAAAAGGATTAACTGAATACCATTGGGGAAACCCTTCATTTCATTATAATTTTATAGCAGGCAGAACAGGGGCTGCATATGATCACTTACAGCAGATTTATTTGAATTGTGACTAGACATACTGGAATCTGCACACACCTGTGATGCTGCACAGGTACACAAAAAAAGTCACGGGTGCCTTTTAAATCCTGACATTGCTTATTTGGCGCACAGCAGATGTGATGATCCGGTTAAACCCTACAAAAAGTATGCAACAAGATCAGCAAACGAGACTGATACTACATGGGAAACCAAATGTTCCTGCCACATACAAACAAAATGGTACATGGTGTAATGTGTTTTAAATGACTGTAAAATCTTATACATAGACTGGGAAAATGGACAATTTTGCAGGAAAATGACCATAATCGTTGTCCCAAAGTGTTTTAAAATGGAACTTCACCTTGTAGACACCTCTGAAATTAGGGCAACTTTGCTATTCTGGCCACCCTTTGATAGTCTATTTAATTTGAAACAGTTTGTGACTAAACTCCCAACTCGGAAGAGCACCTTAATAATAGAGTAAAATTATTGAATGAACCATAATAGTGATTTTCATCTATAATTAACTCAAAACTTAAGTTATCCTATTCAAGTTGTCGACTCTTGCAAAAGACCATGGGAGAAGTTATTCAAAGTGGTGGAATAGGATGGCTAGAAAAAATTTGCCATCTCCATGTATGAGGTAATGTATTTTTGTTGGATATTCCAAGTAGCTGTGATGTAATCTAATATTGTGCTCCCAAATTGATGAAGCTTTTGCATGCTATGGAAAGAATAGACCACATCTCATTCCATGTTCTTACATAAGTAATTAAAAATAGGGAGGGAGGGGAACTAGTTTTTAAATGATATCACATTTTCCATCTTGATAGTAACTTAATGACACTGATCAAACTTGTGTTCTTATTTTGACTCTTAAGTGCCTGTGTCTTTAGGTTAAGTTTCATAAACTAGTGTTTGCTGCCATCGAGTGGTGAAATATTACTTTGAACTTTTTCATTGAAGATTTTTCCACAAATAATAAAGCATTTACAATTGGGTGTTTCTGTATGGAAATTAATCTGTCTCCAACACTGCTGTCCTGAATTAAATAATCTGAAAACATATTAAATCATAGAATTCATACAGGAGTTCACTAAAGTCTTATCTCGTGAAATTTCTTGTGTTATTTTCCCTCAACCCACTTTGATGAAATCAGATCTAATCAGGCTTCTGCCCAGGATTTTAATGACCCATCTAAAAACAACAAATATTAATTATCTTCTCAATACAACTTGCATTTATTTAGCACCTTTTATGAAAACAAGTTGTTGTTTTACATCATTAAAAAACAATGTCCAACATTTAATTTCTCTTACTGTTACCCTGCAGTATGAAAAACTAAATGAGCTGATTCAAAATATAAATGGCATTTTGTTCAAAAAAAATTTGCTCTAAACACTGGTTTGGAGTATCGTTGCAGACTCGGTTTAAAGTTATGAATAGGGCTTGAACTCATGATCTTGATAGCTCGATGAGACTGAGTAAAATTATCCCATAATCAATGCAATAGATAATTCCTGGGGGAACAGTATGTTAATTTGTTAAATAATGGAGGGAAATTAATTGTAATACTTGTTTCTTCCTTTCGAAGACTGGATGGGATGCAAGATGGTCACAAAGCTCATTTTGGTCAACTGGGTGATTTAATGCATTTAATGTTCAAAAGTATCCAAACCAAGGTTTCGTACATGCAACTAAACGTGGAAATTTTCCTGTGACTGGATTGGAATGCGTAATCTCTCCCTGGAGGGAGGCACACTGCTTCCCCAATCCTGGAGAGTATTAGTAAAGTGTTGGGGAACCTAATGTGTGCATTGGGGTATTGCAGGAGTTTAACCAACTAACACCATAGAGCATTCTATTGCGGGCACTATCTGGAAGCTTCCCGCTGCTTGTCCAAATAAGACCGCTGTGCCCCAGTGCCCCCTCCCTCCTTCCCTTTCCCCAGTCCTGTAGCTCAGTGGTTAGAGCACTCGCTTTGCAAGCGAGAGACCCGAGTTCAATTCCAGGCAGAGGGCGAAACCTTGGGCAAGTTTCCTTACTCCACACAGAGCCTAATAATAATCCCTCCAAAACCAAACGCAATAATAAATTGGTCGTTTTCAATCCACGACTGTTTGTGGGACATTGCTGTGCGCAATTGGCTGCCGCGTTTGCCCACAAATATACAGTCAATTCACTTTACAGTGTGTGTTCTGTGAAGCGCTTTGGGACGTCCTCCCGACGTGAAAAGCGCTATATCAAATGCAAGAATCATTATTATTATTACTACCCCCAATCCATGCCTAACCTCCCTCTCTTTCCCCGTTGTCCCCCCATCCCCCAGTGCCTGGTCCCTCATCCCCTGCCCCCCAGTGCCTGCCCACCCCCCAGTGCCCGCCCCCCATTGCCTGCCACCCCCAATCCCCCCAGTGCTGCCGGTGAGCCGGGCTGGGCAGCTCAACCACGAACCAAGCCGCCCGCCGCCCCTTCCCTGTCGCCGGGGTTGGCCGTGAGGGTCAGGAGGCAGGTTTTTGAAATTGCCGCCTGACCGCGTCACGGCAGCCGTGCCGGCGCATGCGCGGAGCGAGCGAGCGGAGATGGTGTGAGCGGCGGCGCCCGGACTCGCGGTTTGGTAACGGTTTGAAGGCGAAGGTACTGGCGGCGCCGAGCGGTACGCGGGGCCGGGCTGCAGCGTGGGGGGTCGCGGTGTAAACCCACGGGGCGGGGGAAGGGAAGAGAGAGGCCAGGAGCCGGGCCGGGCGGGCGGGCGGGGGGTGGGCCTCCCTTTTCCTCCTCACCAAAAGCGGCCTGAAGGAGCCCCCGCCACTGGCGGCCCTTTTACGTGGAGGCGGGTTGGCCGGTGGCGCGAGGCCTGGGCGGGCGGGCGGGCGGGCGGCTGCCTTCCTTCCTTCCTTCGGGCCGGGGAGTGGGCGGGGGGTGGGGGGTGGGGTGGTAGGATGAAGGCCTGACTTCTACGAGCGCGTACCCACCCGCCGCCCCGCCTCCCCGCCAGCCCAGGGGCAAGGCCGCCGTCGCCTGATGCGAAGCAAGTGCGAGCCTCCCCCTCCCCACCCACCAGCACCGAGGTCCCGGCGCTTTTGAGACGACTTTTGAAGCATTTTTTTTTCATGTGGCGTTTTTCAAGCCGCGGCTTTGCCCCTCCTCCCTCCCTCCTCCCCCCCCCAAAAAAAAACCCGAGTGGCGAATCGCTGGCAGACATTTTGGTGGCGGCGGTGGCGCACTTCGTGCTCAGGCCGGGGATGGTGGACAAAGTGGCACCGCTCGGGGTTCGCCGCGAGCGATTCCCTGCCCCACGCCACAGGTTTCCCTCGTGTTACCCCCACACACACACACGCACACACACCCCTCACCCCTCACTTTACCATCGCCCCCAGGTCCCGCCCGCCCGCTCCGCCGCCGCGACTCACTCGGACGTCGTCGAGTGGCGAGGTGTCGGGGTCTTCGTGTGCACCATCAAAATCCTACATCACCCGTTGTAAAGCCCCAAACCTCTCTGTGTGTGTGTGTGTGTAAACAACAAAAAAAAATTATTATAAAAAAAATAAGCTCACAAAGATGCTAAGGTTTATACAGAGTTCTGCGGTTGAGCCTCGTCGTTTTTTTTAATTTAAAAAAAAAGCGACAGTGATTTTTTTCTTTAAACCCTCCCCCCCTCCCCAAAAAAAAATATTTCAAATTCATCGAGTTGCCAACATGTTTTTGAGCCACTCGCTTCTTCTCTCGGTCCTCCTCGGTTTGTGGGCTTGTCTGGTGAAGTGGTCAGATTATTATTCCATTCGGGGGTATTAATCCTGTGATGAATCCCGAAGCAAAGCCGGCAAGTTTGGAGGAAAAGCTTGCATTCCACCTATATTATTATTATTATTATAATAATAAATGGAGCCCATTTGCTGTAATTTCAGAAGAGTACCGTGCACTGATGTGAATATTTAAATATTCAGTGCTGACCGTACTTATCAGAAAAATAAGATAAGAGTATGTCAAGGCAAAGAGGGAACATCTTCTTCTGAACTTGCTGATTCTGACACTTGGGTATCCAAAATTAAGTGTTCCATTACCCAGCACTTGTATCCCTTACGCCGATAAACATAATATGTACTTGTTCGAATTAAATTTTGTGGCCTGTTCCACTGTGCAGTAAATTGTGCTATGAAATCCTATTCTAAAAGCCATACAACGAGTTTTGCCACAACATATTACAGTCAATTCACTTTACGGTATATTCTGTGAAGCGCTTTGAGACTTCTCGAAGATGTGATAAGGCCCAATATCAAGTGGAAGGATTTTTATAACCTCGGGTTAACGTCTTCAAAATAATGACACCACCCAATAATGCAGCTTCCCCCCGATACTGTATTGGAGTGTTTTTTTGATCAGCCGGGTGTCTGACATGTACGGAAACCTATCATCATGTTTAAGAGTATCCAAACCAAACCAAAATTCCAGGCATCCCACTACACATGGAAATCCCAGAGATTAGATTGTTGGAATGGAATGCGTTCTCTCTCTGGAGGGACGCATTCTGCTTACCTAAATCCAGAAAGTATTAGGTGTAGATTGGCCTGAGCCAAGGCTTGGAGACCCCAGAGTGTGTATTGGGGTACTGCTGGAGTCTGACCAGCTCAAACCTAATAGCTTGTCATTGTTATCACTGGCAAGCTTTCCTGCTGCTTGTCCAGCTAGGACCACCATACCCGTAAGGGCTTTGGTTTGCCGGCTTAACAGGGGATGAGTGGGTTGTTGGCTCCCTGCCCCCAGTGACAAGTGACTTGCATTTGATATATCTCCGCTCTCTCTCCACCCCTCCCCAGGCTCTATTGGAGTGTCAACCTCGGCTGTGAGTTGAAAGTCCCAAAGTCTTATTTTAACCTGTGATTTTAAACAAGTATTGGATTTTTTTTTGCCTTGTTGTCTTACTTGCATTCTTTGCCATGTTACTACTTTTTTTGTCTCCCATGCTCTGCTTGAGATAAGACTCGGGGAACTAAATCTGATTTCTCGTCACAGTTTGCAGTTCTGTAGTTTTATCATTATGGGTATATGAATACAATTTCAGCAATCTCAATCTAATAGCCTCCCTGTAGATTGACAATTTGTTGGCTGAATATAAAAAAACAAAGTGTGTTAGAATGACAAACCAATAAAATTAGCTGCTTGTATGTGGTGTGATTTTTCAACGGCAGTTATCAAAGATTTGCACTTCTGGCCAAACATTGTGTTTATTTTATACCTTTGCTTGTATGGTAAATCATCCCATTTACTTACAGGAAATGGCAGAAAACAAACTCAAGAATTTAGGTGTTAAAAGGACTCTAAGCAAAAAAGAGCAGGATGAACTTAGAAAAAAGGTTAGTGCTATATTTCTGCATGATAATTCAGCTGTGTGAAGAGTTTTGAGATGTCATCCCGATGTGAAAGACCCTATTATAAATACAATGACTGACATCAGAACACAAGTTAATTTTTTTAGTGTTAGCAATGAGCTGGGAGGTTCTTTCACTAATGATGACCAGAAAGTTTCAAAGTTTGCTGTGCGTGAACGTCACGTAATTGCCCTAAGAGCCAATTTTGTCAAGTGTTTGACTGCGAAAGAAACATTTTTAAGGACTTGGTTTAACATCAACAAAATTACATTTGTAGAGCGCCTTTCACTTCGGGAGGACGTCCCAAGACGCTGGACAGACAGCGTTACAGAACCAAGCTGAGGGTGGAGGGCAGAGGGGGAAGCGGAGATCGAAAGCATGGTTGTGCGCAAGTGCGCAGGTTCACCACATGTGAAAAGTGGATATAGTATGCAAACTATTTCTGAAAGTAATCATTAATTAGTTACGACAGGTAGAATGGAGGTAAAAATCATAATTTTTAAACGTCAAATAAATTTAGTTTCTTCCTATGCACAAAGAGGTTTGTGCAGAACAATAGATTTAATAAAGGAATGATGATTTATCAAAATGAATTATGTCTTACAACGTATTTAAAAAAGAGAAAATATTCCTTTACAGGAGGAAGAGCTGAAGGCAGCTGAAATCTATGAAGAATTTTTAGCTTCTTTTGACTCAAACAATGGAAGCAATGTTAAAACTTTTGTGAGAGGTGGTATTGAAAATCCATCTAAAGGTAGGTCATTTGTTTTGTGTTGGGGGATTAAGATCTAGCTGTATTTGTATATTTTTTAAAAACTAAATATACACATTCTGTATCCGTCCTTATATAGAGACTAACCTGACCTTGCAAGCCCAGGAATATTTCCAATTTTAGCATGGCGATCAAAAAAAACATGAATTTTGATGATATTAAATTGAGTTTTTTAGTGAAATTTGGTGATAATATGCTGTACGGTGTTGGATCTTTTATTGCGTTCATAGCTGCATTTTTTTCAATTTTCAAGTAGACAAGGGAGCAGATGAAAGGAAAACAAAACTATATAAACCTACAGCCAAATTTGGTGAATTAAAAGCACCACAACAAGATGTTTCTACACCATCCAGACATTCTTCTGAAGTGAGGAAACACGTAAGTTAAAAAAAGAAGAAAATACATAATTTAGTAAAGCTACTGTTCTTCTAGAAATGGATAGATGGAATTTATCTTGTATATGTCAGTTAAATCAAACTAACCGCTTCATTCATTGATCAGTATTGGCTTCCTCAGAACCTGGAAAGTTGATCTTGTATGTTGTACTGTATGTGTTGTATCTTGTGGGGATTATTTGATAATAGAGTTATTGATATCAGTTGAATGGTTGTGTAGGAGGTTTGTTCACACAAAATAACAAACTGAAAAATAAAAATGCATTGCATTCTAAACTTCTGATAAGTGAAATGCATTTTACATTTTTTTAAACTGAACTAATGGGCAATATTTTACATTTCCAAGTTTATGCTCCTGCTTTTCTAAAAGTTTCAATCAATTTTATAATTTTTTTTCTTCGTCACCTGAGATTTGCATGTGTGTGTGTATGAGGGATTGTGATTTTAAAAGTTTAAGTATAGGAATACATTTTCACCACAACATGATTGCACAACTACTTCAATAGAAAAGACATACTGATGTTTCTAATAGCTAATTACTTTTTGAATTCTGTCAAAATAATTTTGCAGAAGAATTGATGTAAACATTCTCGATTTACATGAAATGAAAATTTAGGAGTGATGTATGAATTTCATTGTATTTTACTGTAATTTATTTTCCCTCCTATTCCCCAAATAGCCCAACAAAAAAGTAAAAGATGAGAAAAAGAAGAGCAATTTGGAAATATTTAAAGAAGAGCTCAAGCAGTAAGTGGGTAGTAAAATGATTATGACCTTTCAATAAAATAGAAAAATATTTTTTAGAGTAACCTACCTTTCTCCCCACCTTTCCTCCCTCATTCCAGGATTCAAGAAGAGCGTGAAGAGAGGCACAAGAATAAAAGATCAATTAAAGATGGTACTTTAAGACAAAGTAGATTTGAACCCATACCTGGAGACCAAGAACAGCAAACGAATCGGCGTGTCTGTAAGTATTTAGGTTCATTTCTAGTGTTTTGCACAGTGCATTCCAGCTGCATTAACAAACAAATAAAATCCTTTTTTGCATGTAACATAAACAGATTTAAACTAAGGGAAAAAAATAATCTCTTTGACCTTTTTAACTTCTGATTTATGCAAATTTTACTGACGAGTCGAATTCCATTTTTGAATACAATGTCCTTGTTTAACTATAGATTAATGATTTTGTAGCAGTTACAGGAGTTTAGTGTTGAATTGTTACATCATCTTTTAACATTTGCTTGAGTAAATTATTTTGAAATGCAAAACTAAACTGATGATATGTCTTGTATTTAGTGCAGGATGATGCTCAAGGATCATATGATTCAGGGGATCCTCACACTACAAATTTGTACATTGGAAACATAAATCCACAGGTATCTTCAACTGTTAATACATTAAACTTACATAAGTCGTATCAGTCAGGACCATAACATTTAATATGATTTGCTCAAACTCCGAGTTGCACGTATAAATTGTAGAAAATCTGATTTAATCTACACTGCCATTTGTAATTTAATGCAGCCTGTAAGTGCGCATGCGTGACGGAGTAAGACTACATCTCTTGTGATTCAATGCATCTTGACCGTTGCCGGAAGCACACTTGGAATCTCATTAAATCACAGGAGCTGAAGTTTCTGGACACCCGTCGACGGGGCACCAAATAATTTCCTGCACTTCCATGCGGTAAGTGCAGGAGTCGTGGAGGGTAGGGGAGCAGCATTACAAGTTAGAAGGAAATTAATACAAGTAGCGCAAAAAAAAAGTGGTTTCAATAGGAAACTGAATGGGACTCAGGTGAATATATGACTCAGGCGATTGTGCAATTTATAAAGGTAAGACTTCTGTGAGTTCTGTACCAACCTGCCAAATTTTTAAGGATACTTGAGAATTGTGACTTATTTGCATTTTGTTTAATAAAACACTGTTCTGAAACAATGTTTTCTTTGTATTTTTGTTAGATGGATGAAGAAATGCTTTGTAAAGAATTTGGCAAGTTTGGCCCTTTGGCAAGCGTGAAAATCATGTGGCCTAGAACAGAGGAAGAACGGGCTAGAGTCCGAAACTGTGGTTTTGTTGCCTTCATGAACAGAAAAGATGCAGATCGAGGTCTGAGATCCCTGAATGGTAAGTGGATCCCAATTTCATTGTGCAATTGTGGTAGATTGCAGGGTCGTATTGAGGCATATTACTTCACGTTTGATCTTGTTCGCCTCTTGCAAATTTTGCAATCCTCTTTTTTAAGAATTGAGACGGTCATGACTTGCTAGTTTCAAGGACAATCTTTGATTTAAAGTAATGTTTCTTTTCCATGGCCAATATTCGTTTAATTTCAAAGTTTATGGGGAGTGTTTTGCCTTTTTATTGAAGTTATTGTAGCTCAATTGAATGCAATAGTAGGTGAAAACATAGTTAGATTTAATATTTTTTAAAACATGAATTAAAAGTATAGTTAGAAAATTGGTGCTTAGACTCTGGTTTCCAACTGTAACTCGTTTTGAAATTGTTTCCTTTGGTTGACGTGTTCAACCTTTTCAGTGTGAATGGCGGTGTTTCTTTCAAAACACTTTAGAATAATTTGGTAACTAATATTTAAAGGGAAACCACATTATCTGTGCGCCCACATAATATACAGTCAATTCACTTTACAATATATTCTGTGAAGCACTTTGAGACGTCTGAAAGGTGTGATGAGGCGCTATAGCAAATGCAAGGTTCATTATATTATTTGTTGTGCTAAAGATCAGGTGTGGTGTCGTTTACAGGGAAATTTATAATGGGTTATGAAATGAAGCTAGGGTGGGGGAAGGCAGTGCCCATCCCCCCACATCCCATATACATTCCACCAGCGATGATGGAATTGACTCTTCCTCCTCCTCCATCGGGTTTACCCTTTAACGCACAGCCTAGAGTGAGGCTGAGGAACCCCGATTTGCCACTGCCGCCAGCAAAATCCAAGGAGGAATTTGATAAGGTAAAATTATGTGAATATGATTTTTGTGCATGCTAGAGAATCAAAGTAAATACTTATACAGAATATTAATGTAGGCATAGAGTATTGCAAATTTTCATGTATTGAATGTGTGCAGGCCTCATCATTATTCATATTTTTTGCAAGTATAAACTATTAATGCTATATACTATAACAATTGCATAATCTGTACTCTCATAATGGCACATTGTCATAACTAGTTGTCAAATGTACATGAGAAACACGTGGAGTTAATTTTGCCTAGCTATATTTGGCCATTGATGATTCTGCATCCGCAATGCAATTTAGCTGTTAAAATGTCTACTACATAGAATTGTAGTCGGCAGATAAAAACTAGGATACTACAAAGGTATTAAGCTTAATACCTGATATGTGCTAGCAAGACAGAATCTTCTACAATTTGCTTCAAAACCCAGGTGAGAGAAGGGAGATTCGGCCATATTTCCACTCTTCATAATGTTGCATCGCCACTGCATGTGTGTGTAGACAAGGCGAGGACAGGATCAATCTTTGCTGTGATGCACCCTATTGTTGACTGGCCTGTCTGTACTCACTGTCGAGGCTCACAAATGACTAATAACTGCTTGGCTGAGTTACCAGAAGATAAATAGTGACCATGAATCAACATCTCTGTAGAAAAAAAGGTGTAAACTGCCTTGAGGAGAGGAAGGAAATTAAGAAAATTGTTTGAAGGAGAAAATAAAGATTAAGTAGTAGTATCATTATTGTCCATGTCTCTTTAAAGGTAGCTTTAATGAGCACCAGGCTAGTTTGTCTGAAGTTGGAAGCCTGTTTTTTTATGATATTTGCCTATTTTAGAAGAGTTCAACTGAATTTTTATATGTATACATCAGGAATGTCATTTATAGAATGCTGTGTCTACATAATTAGACCATCAATGCTTAATGCATTCATCTTACGCAGTAGTATAGTTTTGTTTGCACACTATGTCGGTCAGTAATTAACTTCCATTGTTCATTATCTATTTTGTGTAATTTCTTGCTAAAATATTTAAGATGGTAGCTAAATATCCACAATCATATTAAAGGGGAAGGTAAGTCTGAACAAAAAGTACCCAATCCCCCATTTTCCGCAAAGTACTCCCCTAGAATTATAAACGTACATTATACCTTTTGATCGGAAATGTCATTGAGGTTAAAGCTTACCTGGGACCTGCACCCTACTTTGCATGTCCCCTCTGATGATGTCACCGACGGGGTGGCTAGAGCAGCTCAATTTATTTTAAGGGCATTTTTGGACCCGATCCATTCGGGATCGAATGGTACCAGCTGCACATTACTGCACATTGTCAATATTATTATTTTCTGGGTTGGGTGGTTTCAGGTTGGCTCCCTGGCCAGTTGAAAATGCCCATTAAAGGTTATGGAGCTTTACTGGGATACGTGAAACTTCTCCTCGATGGTGACATTACAGGAGGCACTTGTAGACCAAAGGATCTCAAGATTCTGGAAAGATGAAGGTTTCTGCCAAAGTCAATATTAGGGTTGAAGATTCATTAATTTCTAATGGAAGATTACAGCTGAGTGGAGTTCTAGTGAGCTGTGATGTACTTCTAGTTACTGGAAGAAGTCCCCATTTTTGCAACTCCTAAGTTATTCCATTAGAAATCACTACATTTCTAATCCAATTTTCTGCAAACTTACAGTATGTTTAAATGTACTTAATGAAAAAGAATAGCCGTGTAAATCCATAGTTTTCCAGTTTATAATTACCAATTTCTTAACCATTTGAGACACTTTTTCTCTTTGTTTCACCCCATTTCTGTTTCTGTCTTGCCTTTGCATTGATTGAAACTATTTGGTTTGTAAAATGCTATTTAATGCTAATTCCACTGTTTTTCTATATATATTCCACCACTGTCTGTTTCTGAGGAAAAAAAACTGGGCTACAGATAAATCTATCTTTTCTGTAGTACAAATTCATACTATATAGCTTTTCTAAGTTTTTTAAAAATTAACCAAATTGCTAAATTGTCATGTCGTTACTTTGTCACCCATAGCATTATTGTAAGCTGATCTTTTTACAATTGTTAGAAAATTGTAGTATTCTAGTTATGTATAATATTTACCACGACTGATCCATTTTGAAATTAAAAGGCTAGATTAGCAGTGTCTGAATATTTATCACCTGGATAGGATTGTCAACATCTAGTCAAACAGGTGTGTCTGGGCATTTTAATTTACATTTCGCTTTACTACTTGAAATATTTGATCTTAACCAGTGATTACACTGCTAGTTCATTAACTTTTGATTACATTGCAAATTCTACCAAAGTTAATGCAGACAGAACACTAGAGAAAAAATGTGTTTAGGTCTGTTTGCCCCTACAATAAAATTAGGTATCCGTGGTCTTGCTCTGTTATACTTCTATGCTGTTTATTTTAGAGCACAAATATGTTGTTGCTCTAATCCAAATAATGTATGGTTTACACATGGTGATATTTCTGTACTCAGCATATAAATATACTAGGAATATTACTGATTCCCAACAAGGTATACCGATAGTTTGAAAGGAGCACTTAGTGTTCTGTTCAGTGTGTGCTACAGCAGTACAAAGGGAGAGTAGCCTTCAGAAACTTTTCAGAATTCAGATATTTAGGTTTTATGTTGGGCCAAACGTCCTGGTGAGTATTCTGTTGTGCAGTATTTAGTGCTATACGTCACTGCTGTATTTTTTCGTAGCTAGCATATCAAAAAAACTAAGCATAGCACTAAAATATAAATTGTTGCTTTTGTTTTGTTCTTGATGCTGTATGTCCTGCAGTGTTTCACCAGCCAATACTCACATTCTTTATATTTTTACTATTTGATGTGACTTCATGTGCAGACTCTGTCCGAAGCCGTAGTCAAAGTGGTTATCCCAACAGAAAGGTACACTTTCAGTTCATTCTTACTACTACTGCTACTACGACAAAGCAGCTTATTTCCAACTAAATTTACAAAATAAAAGGACTTTTTTCCACAATTGCTTACGTGCCTCCAAGGATGTGCCCCATTTCTGCGAGCAACCATAAAAAGATAAGTTTTTTTTAACTAGTGTCTCTTGATCAGAAAATGGAGTTATCAATATAAGTAGTAGGAATGGCGAGTAACATTAACCAGAATTGCTTTGATTACATAGAATATCTTTATTGAAATAATTAATTTTAATTATTCATAATTTTTCTGTTTTTAACAAAACCACTCTCAATGCTGACTGAACGATTGTTTCTTTTCTGTTAGCGGAGTGAGTGCCTCTTAGCTTGCTAAATGGTTGAGCTTATACTTGATGTCTTGCTCAGAGGATTGGGGACTCCTGGCACGTGATAGCTTTTTTTAAAAAAAAGATTTGTGGTTAGAGTGTGCCTTAGTCGCACCATAACGTGGACCAAAGGAACATGGGACTGAAGTGGCGGCCAACTGGTGCCTCAGGAAGCTGAACTGAGTGGAGCCTCGCGCTGGTTTTCACTGTTCCGTGCGAAATGTCCAGGGCTTCGTGGGATAACAAGGATGCCCAACCACGGTTTGACCCTGATAGCTCCTCATACTTTTAATAGATTTTACTATTAGTAATCAACTGGGTCACATGAATTATGGATACATGGCATTTTCAGGTAATGCTTACATTAAAAGTAGTACTTTTATACATTAATGTATACCAACTACATTGGATAAGTGGAACAACAAAGGATAAGTGAAACCAACTTACTAGTAATGTTAATTTTCTGCTATTAAGCTATCTTTTGCTAAAGTATTGAAATTGCTTGTAATGCATTCATTCCAAAATGCTTGTGAATATTGGGCATGTTTTTTTTTTAGCAATTTTGTTTTGTAAATCTGCAGTATATTTCAGTACAACAACAACATTGTTTGATACACAAATAAGGTTCTATTGCTACAACTCCCATATACCAGAATTGTAAAAAAAGCTATACAGTGGTATAATGTAATTGGTTTGATCCCGAGTACACGTGGCCTGAAGCTCATTAGATCTATTCAGTCCGTAACTACATGCCAGTAAGGACTGAAACATTTTCTGCTAAATAAATAAAATAATTGAGACATTCTGCATGCAAATGTATAACAGTTCAGATATCATTGCTTCTCCTTGCTTTCCCTTCTGTTGGTTACATCCCTTGGAGAATTTAGTTCACATCCCTTGGAGAATTTAATTCATATTCCTCCAAAAAACTCCTGTAATATATGCAGCTTTTTAAATGCTGATTTGGTACACATTATTTGTCATTACTTCTGAATTTTATAACCCTTACTGTTTCTGGGATATTGCTGCCACTAAAGTAATTCCAATTAGTACCTATAGGAAGAAGTATGTACATCTCTAGGAAAGTGCACCACCCAAAATGTTAGTGCTAGATACTAATAATGCCAGCAGAAATCCAATAATTAGCAATCGCAAGAAAATATAAGCCTGTAGTAGCTGATAGTAGTAAGTAATGCAGTAAAATTCAGTCGGTTGTAGTTGTGGAAATTTTCTGTTGGATTGGAGATCTGCTTTACTTGTAAAACATTTGGAAGCTTTGTACCATTTATTAAGATTGTGGATTACACTGAGAACGGGGACAGCATCAACTTCGAAGCTCGTCTTATCTGTGTTAGGCCAAATATTTTTAATGGGCTTTATTTTTCTAAATGTTTAATTTTTTAAGCAGTTCTGTTAGTTAGTGTAATGCTGTTATTTAGAAGCATTCAAGACGTGTTTAACTGGATATTTTTGAATGATATCCTCAATTCCCTTTTATTCTCTTAGGAACTTATTGTGCATAATTCATCGAATGATCGAGTTTGTGGTGCGTGAGGGACCAATGTTTGAAGCTATAATTATGAACCGAGAAATGAATAACCCCTTGTTTAGGTAATATAAAAATTAATAGTATTAAAGGTGTTCAAATGAACTCTTCAATTAGTATTGGTAGACGATATAATTTTCACTTCAATATCTCTCATCAGGTTCCTGTTTGAGAACAAGACCCCAGCACATGTGTACTACAGATGGAAGTTATTTTCTATTCTGCAGGTAAATTACATTTATGATTGTTTCATTTATAATAAAACAAAATTATGCTGGAGTGGTATTTTATCAGCTAGTTGACTTCATATCTCCTGGATATCTTTACACTTTGTGAAATCTTATGCAACCAGATGATCAAGATTTTTAAAGTAGTATTTGAATGTTATTCCAGTAACCTTGTGATTAAAAAAAACAAATTAATTCGCATATAATCTGGTGATTTTATACTCTGACCAAGTTTGATGTGGCTTTGATGTAGTAATAACAATAATAATCCTTGCATTTGATATAGCGCCTTGTCACGTCTTCGAGACGTCTCAAAGCGCATCACAGAATATGCAAGTGAATTGACTATATTTTGTGGGCGAAATGCTGCAGCCAATTGCGCACAGCAGTGTCCCACAAACCGTTTTGGATTGAGTGACCAATTTATTATTATGTATATCTATTATAAAATGATAGTTGGAGCGCCATAAAATCCCAAGCAGTTTTTCAACTGGGTGCGACAGATGGTCACCACTTGTATGCGGTAATGTCATCAATCACTTGATTGGTGGCATGATTGTGCAGGCCTGCAGAAAGCCGGCCAGCTCCTTTGGCACGCATCATGCTTCAAAATGTTTTGAAGTGTGGCATTGCAATTTGCAGCGAGCTGGCCAGCTTTCCAAAATGTTTAAATATTTTGTTAAAGTGAATATCGGTGTCCACTCCACGTTCCATTTGTGCTATAAGCAGAAGTGATTTATAATGTAAATAAGTGATTTGTAAACCTACTGTAATGTGGGAAACAAATCTGCATGTACTGTTTTTGTGAACCAGGGTGATTCTCCTACGAAATGGCGAACAGTAGATTTTCGAATTTTCAAAGCTGGTTCATTTTGGCACCCTCCACCTATGAATCCCTATCTGCAAGGCATGCCAGAGGATGGGGCCGTGGAAATGCCTGTTGAACAAGAGGAGCCAGTGAAGAAGGGACAACTGAAGGATGAGTAAGTGTTTCACTAATAAGCATCCAATTCCTATAAATCTGCATTCATTTGTAAATGTGTAAATGTTTTTCATTGTAATAGTTATTTTTTCTACTCATTCAGAAATGCTAAAGTTAGCCACTTCAAATGAAACCAAGTTCAGTAAAGGAACCTTATAAAATTTAGTGAATTTCAGTGGACTAATTTTCATAAAATCTATCAGTATGTTCCAACAATGATTTTGGAGGCCAGAAACAGATGTAATACATACATTTTTCATCCAGCCTTAACTTAAAGGAATAGATCTTTTCAAACTACTTGCTTTCAAAATCCTTGGTAAACAAAGTTTATCTAAAAGGCATAAATTGACTTATCTGACAGCAGTTCAACATTTTAATCAATAAATTCTGTTTGTATATCGCAATTACTTTTGTTCAGGTGGATTCAATATTTTTTTAAAACGTGCTGTTTTGTTAAGCAACTCATACAAGTCTTTTTAAAAATGTTTTCTATAGACAGCGAGATAAACTGGAGAATATCTTGAGGGGATTGGCACCTCATCGAAATAATATAGGTGAAGCTATGGTCTTCTGTTTGAATAATGCTGAGGCAGCTGAAGAAATAGTAGATTGCATTGCAGAGTCATTGTCCATTTTACAGACTCCACTACAGAAAAAGGTAAGCAAGAAGGAATTATTTCTCTAGATTCAAGTGATGGTATTCATTGTATAGGGATGTTCTGTATATGTTATTTAACCACGTAAGTAATTGTAATTCTGGTCTTGTGTAAATGCACTGGAGAATACTTTTTTTTCCCCCCCTTTCTCTCTTCCCTGCTTCTCATCTTAATATATTGAGTTTCATGCTGCCTGAGGCACAGTTCCTGAGGTGCCAGCAGCCATCTGGCACTTCATTCAAGTGGTTCATTTTGTATGAGTAAGTTTAGGCCATGAGTGTCAACGGGCTATTTGACTATAGAAGCCATCACAGCTTAGAGTGCAAAGGCCAAATGTGGCACTCCAACTGCTGTGCTGTGATATCTACACACAACAGGAGGTCAAGGTTTCAATTTTCTAGTCTATAGAGTTTAATGCTAGACTACGTGGTGTTTTTACTCTTTGGACCATCCCTTGAATGAGTTTTTTTTAATTGATTTGCAACTGTGGTAGCAATGATGAATTGTATTAGTTACATCTGTACTAAAACCTGAATATTGTTCTTACTACATTCTTTCAACATTTGTCTCCCAATTAAATTACAATATGGACATTAATTTAACTTTGTCCATTGTGTGTAATATGAATATTTCTAAAAGGAAAAAACAATGATCCATTCATTAATGCTTTATATTTTCTTTTCATTGCAGATAGCAAGACTCTACCTGGTGTCTGATATTCTGTATAATTCTTGTGCAAAAGTAGCTAACGCATCTTATTATAGGAAATAGTAAGTTTCTTAAAGTTAGCTTTGTAGTAAACATTTTAAACATTTTAACTATTTTTTTCAGAAAGCTAATGTATAATTTGAGTGCTTTGTTTTCATAGCTTTGAATCCAGACTTCCTCAGATATTTTCTGATATGCATGAAGCTCACAAAGTGATTCAAGCAAGACTTCAAGCAGAGCAGTTTAAGGTATAATTTTGGCAGCTGTCTTGTGAGAACATTTGTTCCATTAGCCCTCAGGAGCTGGAGGGGTTTGTTTTAATATTGAGCATTTTTGATCAGTAAACCTAACATTAAATTGCAACCTTTTTGAAGTATGTACAATTATATACCTCTTGATTTTCATTGTTTGTTTTTTTGCTACTTTTTTGTTATTTTCTTGATGAAGCCTGACAATAATTAAACAACTTTACATTTGTCAACCGCTGTCAGCATTAAACACTTCCTAGCTTGTTATATTGCAGGTCAGGTGATAAATAAATAGTTTCTCCACTTTATATCATTGTGCATTAACCATGGGTTTTATGGAACACCTCTGCTTTTCAATTATTTTTCCAGGTGGTAACCCATGCTTAACAACTGTATTTCTTCACAGTTCACCAAATACCAGCCTAATACTTCCTTGATGTGTAGTTCATCAAGCTTGTTGTTTCAAAGCAAGAACAGTGGCAGATTGTGTTGTGTGTGCTGTGGCATTGTGCCCACTCAGAACTCGGTTGAGCCAGGCAAATTCAATTCCTGTAAGACTTCTGCAACTGTCAGCAAAAAAAGACTTTATTTTGAACTAGATTTATACTTTCTGAATTGTGTCACCCATTTTTGCATTTTTTTACAAATATTTCCAATATTTATTTTATATCCAGGTTTATCATTTGTCACCAAAAATTGGTATAATTCATGGACACATATGGCCTAGTATTAAGTTTCACAACCTGTCATGGACTACTTTTGACAGGGATCAAAAGAGTCACTTGACAGTGTGGACTACCATATTACATACATGAGTTTATAGAGGATTTGGTTGTTTGCAAATATATGCCTTATATTTGTATATACACGGGTTTTAACCATGCTTGGAAGTAAAGGAATATTCCAGGAGAGGTCATGGTTTGGTTAGACACAGAACAAACATATTGGTAATTGTCCTTTCTTGTTTTTGCTTAGCAAAAGGTAATGGCGTGTTTTAGGGCGTGGGAAGACTGGGCTATTTATCCAGAACCTTTCCTCATTAGGCTACAGAATATATTCCTTGGACTAATGAAATTGGATGATGATGCATCAGAAAGACGTGAGGTATGTATCATTTAATTATTTCCTTTTTCTAAGTGGAGTATGATTGAATGCTACATTTTTCCCCTAGTCGAAGGTGGGTATATTGGCAGGATTCCATTGGCTCCAGCAATCAATCATTGGTTTAGATCATATGTGAGACTACTGTATAAGTGTTGTCAGGCTTTTTGGTATTTGGGGGAAAAAAACTGGTGTGGATAGCTCCCTGTCACTATAAAATGTGAATTTGAATGAAAGGAGTGGTCCTTGAATTTTTCATAGATTATTAAAATCATAATGAATTTTTTACATCTCTGTATGTAAACCACGTGCAGGTATATTGGTTATCTACATTGGTTGTAGTGATTTGAATATAGGATCTGGAGTAGATCATTTGGCCCAATCATGCAGCATCATGTTATTAGTCTACTATAGTTTCTTTTTTAATCCTATTTTCCTTTAATGACCATATTTTTCAAATGTACATCTATCCCCTTTTCAAACACCCCAGTTGGTACTAAATCAAATTTCCAATTGTGCTGATCCTTTAGTGTCGTGCTAATCAAAACAATACTATGGATGCAGTAAGCCAGGTAGATACTGCAACTAATTTTAAGAATGTTTTGTACCTTAAAATAATTCAGTTTATGTTGTTGGAAATGGTGATGGGGCTGTTGTTCTTATAACATTTTAGAAACTGCTTGGTGTTCTGCTTAAGCACTCAAGCAGACCTGGCTTCATCTGAGCAGGCAACATATATCTTGCCTTTCTGCTCCAAATGATTGTAAGTGCTGAAATTGATGATGATGTTCCACCTGTGAAAAAAGGGCATGATTTATACCCATCTCTTTATAAAGTAGTGACATATTGGAAAACCAGATGAGATAGTAAGAAAAAATTGCTCTGTTGTGCAGCAAAGATGATTTGCTTTATTGTAGCTTAGTATTTTTCTAATTCTACATAGAATTGGTGTATAAACAAAATTTGTTTCATTGCATCACTGCACCTTTTTTCAGGTGCTTGATGATGTAGATGGCGCACCAATTTACGAAGATATTGCTCCGATCGATGATGTTGATGGATTGCCAATTGATGATATTCCACTAGATGGAGCACCTTTAGATGATATTGATGGAGTTCCTTTGAAATTAGTTGAGGATGACCTTGATGGCATGCCAAGTAAGTAAGCTGCTGAACATTATTGTTGTAGTGGTTTGCAAATCTGTGAGTAAAGAATTGATCTCTTAACCATAATCTAAGTTTCAGATAAAATTTAAATTTTTGACCTTTATATGCTGCAATTCTTTTATAGGTCCCAATTAATTCTTCATGTTGAGTGAAATACAATTAATATTTATATCTAGACATTGTTTTTAGTGTCTTAATAGTTATCTCAATGGAATTGCGCTTCCAAATATCACTGTCCTAAAGCTTCAATGACACACAATGTGGAGATAGGCTTCCTATTCTTCAGACTATTTCAGTCAGCGCTAATAGTATTCTAAAGGATAAATCATATTTTCTTTGCAATTCTTTCATTCTAAGGACTAAATCTGAAAGATATTGATGCATTTGTAAACCTGTAAAATGAATATTGCCTCGGATAAATAACTAATAGCATGGGAGCATCTCTCCAGAATTATCCCAAACCTTCCATATTATTTGAGGTTGTCGTTATTTGACTAAATGTTCTCATTGCTTAGTGGAAGAAACTATAATTAAAAAGGAGGAACCATTGTTAAAGATTGCTCCTTCAAAATGGGAAACGGTGGACGAGTCATTGTTGGAAGCTCATGGTATGGATTTTCAATTTACTTGCCTTTAATTTTACAGGTAGATGTTAATATGCAATAATTCAGATCTGTATAACTTAAAATACTTAATTGCTGCCTTTTTAGGAGGGCTTCAGCAAGGTAGCGTGCTGTTAAAGAGGTATCTCTTTTGAAGTGCACTTTGAAAAAAATAAGGGAGAGAGCCTGGGAATGGAGTTCCAGCAAGTGACTGAAAGCCTGCCTGGGAATCTTCAATGTAAATGATATGAAACGCTTGTTATTGGAATAAGCAGTTAGAGTTGGGGTCAAAAACAAAGAACAATCTGCTGGTAACCGGAGGAGCAGATAGCACTACCAACTGGTAATGGTCAGACTAATGTTCCCACAGCGAGTATAAAGTGTCATATATCATCAAGAGTCACTTATTTTAACTCTTGAGTTGCTATTGCATTCTGGAACCAATTGACTACATTGAACTAGATGTCATCCAATCTCACAATTTGCGTATCCAATTAGCCACTTTCTACAATTGAAGCAGTAGAAATATCTATTGTGTTGAGTTTCTAATTACCATGTAAGATATTGAGCAACATTGCTTTATGGTTGTCAAATCTGAAAAGTTAAATTCCTTTTGCAGCAATTACTACATCAAAATGGGATCTACTTGATCATCCAGAGTCCGAACGAAAAGTTCACATTAAGTGAGTTATGTTTAATCGTTCCCTACTTGGAGGGAGAAATTCATCTTGTATATTTTGCCCACAAAAACACAAGTCACACCACTTTACAGTATATCCCATGAAGACCTTTGAGACTCATTGATGACTTGATAAGGCAGGCACTATTATCAAATGTTAGCATCATTATTACAATACCACCATTCCTGCATTCTTTACATTGCCTTTTTCTACTTTTTCCTCTTACTTCTGCAGTCAAGAGTTCTATCACTTTATGTTGGCAAGTTGCTTTTGAAAAACTGTTTTGTGGTTCTTTAANTTTTTTTAAAACCAAGTATTAACTGTTGCTAGTAGCTGACAGAAGAGTTAGTGATTATCTCAATACGGTAATGTCTACTCCACCAACTGTTCCACCAATTTGATATTTCTGCTGCAAATCCAGTGAATGCTGCTTTTATACGATCAGTCACAACTCACTATCACCATCCCTTAAACACTGCTATAAAAGCTTTTGAAAGCACTTAATCATAAGGAGTGAATTTGCTTCATAGGGAAGAAGTAACCGAAGAAACTGAGGAGGAACCAGCTGACACTTCTGAGTCAGAGGAATCATTGGTGCAGAGGGAGGAACCCATTGATTCAAAATCACAGAAATTCTTAGAAATATCTGAACAAAAACGTGCCAAGCTGCGAGAAATTGAGGTAAATGCTAATGGTTTGGATTTACTTAATCCCTAGAATTACTCTTAATATATTTTAAAATAAATAATTAATGGAAGAAGAGTCCCTTTCTTCCCCTATAAATGAGAGATTTTACCCGCAAGTCTAGGGATAATTTCACTGATGAACTGTAATGCTGTATGCTTTACATCAAAACATTTCTGTTATAATCTCAACTTCTATCTTAATATGAATTTATAGAACCTATTGTTTGAATTCAAATAGTTTAAAGAAATAGTGTGCTGAATTGGTTTAAATTTATCTGGATGCTTATTGTTTCAGCCATCCATTGTTTGTATTTTGTACTTCAAATTTGTGGTCTGAGATTAACTTGAAGTAGGTATTATTCTGAACAGTCTATAGGTGTGGTCTAGAGAATTAGTTGCTTTTAGAGTTTGATATCTGATTACATTTCAACTTTATTTCACCAGCTAAAAGTAATGAAATTTCAAGATGAATTGGAATCGGGTAAAAGACCCAAGAAATCAGGAGTGACATTTCAACAACAGGTTGAGCATTATAGAAGTAAACTTTTGCAAAGGGTAAGATAATTGGCTGGCTACCTTTTTTTTTCTTGAGCATCATAATTCTAGCAACAAACTTAACACAGTAAACTGAATTGAAAGAAACAAGAATCTTTTAATACCAGGAATGGTGGCAAAAGTCAAATTGATTAGTTAATACGGTTGTTTGCTGTGGTTCAAAATGTAATTCATATAGATGGAATAATTGTGTAATGAAGAAAGATTAATCTGCTTTGTCTTTGTACAGGAAAAGGAAAAGGGCCAGGATAAAGAGGTAGAAAAAAAGGAAAAAGAAATTACAGATTCAGAGCGATCAAAGGACATAAGCAAAGAAAAAGACAAAAAAGAAAAAGACAGAACTGAAGAACGGAGCAAAGAGAGAGACAAGGATAAAGTCAAAGCCAAAGAGAAAGATAAGATCAAGCTGAAGAGTAAAGAAAAGGAACGGAGCAAAGATCGAACGAGGAATAAAGATAAGCAAAAGGGCAGCTCAATTTCACCCTCCAGGTAGCAAAGCACACGTACCCCTAAAGTACAAGAATGATTAAAAATGATTACATTTTAGATTTTGAATTTCTTGAAGATAGTATTCTGTGAACCAGAATAGGGAAAAAACAAAGGGTTATGTAACAATGATTTCTTACCAGGGTACAATTTTTACTTCAGTAATAATGCACTAAATTCAGATTTTTATTGCAACCTACTAACTACATTTAATTACAATTATTGAATGTATGGTTTACCAAGATAAAGCCACTAGAATCATAGTGTTTATGGGGATATAAGACAGTTGCACCCATTACTGCTGATCTTAACACCACTTGTCAATCTATTCACTGTGTTCCAGAAAAGGGAGGTGTACAAATTCACCAAGTCCTTCGAGGAGCAGCAGATATGGAATATCGGTCTCGCCTTGGTCTGAAAGATCACAGCTAAAAGAAAATACCCTCTCGAGGTCTCCATCACCAGCATATAAAGATTCCCCAAAGAATAGTGGCAAGCGGAAAAAGAGGTGAGGGCATTTAATAGTATCTTTTGTAACTAGGTGGATGCTTGCTATAAAATTTGTAGAATACTTTTAAAGTCCAATGGACTTTATCTTTCTGTTGTATACTTGAGCTATGGTTCTTCTAACTGATCTATTATTGTACAAGAATTTAGTTGACTGGTGCTGTCTAATAGAGGATAAAATATGTATTGATAAATATATCTTTGAGGGACTCTGTTTTTATTTCTTTTTTTGTTTCTCGATAGATCTTGGTCAAGATCTAGATCTCCCAAAAAGTCAAAGCATTCCCACTCAACTTCTCCCAAGAAATCCAAGCCATCACGATCACGTTCAAGAACTCCTCACCGGTCTCGTAAAAAGTCAAAGAAGAGCAAACACTGACATCAACATTTCTGCTTTCATGTACATAAAGGAAAATGCAGCTTTTTTGTACTTTGTTTTGCCTCTGTTACTCTGTTCCATTTGTTTTATAGATGGAATAAATATTCTGTGCTTTTGTATTTGGATAACTGCTGCTCATTTTACAATGGGATGGTGATTCAGTTCTGAAAATGGTATCAGTTATGATCTGGAAATCTCCTAACTGTTCCTTGCCAATGTAAAGCATTCATCTCTGCATTCTTGTCAAATTTTGCTTGTGCTTTAGTACAAGTATTTTTTTTAAATCTGTGTAATATCTGCAGAGAGAGCTGCAGGAGACATGAATGTGTGTTTTGTGATCCTTATAAGCATCTTGGTGTTCAGTTTCTGTAATAACATTTAAATAAAGTTTAGTGACCCCTTTCTTGAGGACAATTATTATACTGAATTGTACTTTCGTCTTTAATTTCCACCCCTCGCACTTTTTTATTTTTATATTGCCCTTTAAAAGCATACCTAACTTAGATTCCCTTGGCACCATGTAAGCTGCTTTGCATTTAATGTCGAGTGTTAGCATTTTTACGTAAGCTTCACAGGATTTTACTATAAATGTTAGTGACTATTTTGGGCAAATATTCTCGCACTTTTCTATTAGCCCAGCTGATCGTCTGTATATTTGCAATATATATATATATTTGGATGTTGAGTCGGGGCTCTGCGATGAAACCCTCTATAACTGGAAAGCTTGGCAGCAGTCACTGGTTAGGCTCACACATGATGCCTGACCACATAAATTAGGTACTGATTGAGAGGTTCCAGCAAGAATCAAAATACTAAGGAGGGAAAGAAAAAATAATGTTCTCCCACTAGATGGGGCTCATTCACATAGTCCTTACTACCTGGAAAGCTATTGTGTCGTTATACAGTCAATTCACTATATTCTGTGAAGCACTTTAGAGATGTCGCGAAGATGTGACATCAAATGCAAGGATTATTATATTGACTCATAATTATCAGAACATACTTTCCTCCAATAAATGTATCACTATGATATTGTGTTGTGATTTTGCACTCCCCGGGTCATTGTATCCTGTATTAGCAATGGTCTGGACTCCTATCCAATTGTTTTACATTTGGATAGGGGAAGCCTGTTGATTTTTAACTCATATTTGAGAAAAATGATAGTGATATTGACATAAAACGATTTGGGCTTGTGCTTAGACCAGATTGATTCAGGACAACAAACTGGTAACATTGCAATTATCCCACCTCTATATGCAACTCACCCGTAAGAGTCCCGTTATAATGAATGAATCATTAAATTAACTGAAGATACCGAGCACTGACTTGCTAAACGTTGTGGAAATTTACCAGCAAACAGAACAAGATGATGAATGCTGCTATCCTACTAACTTGTGGAGTCCTGTAGCTCAGTGGTTAGAGCAATCCCTTGCAAGCAAGAGAGCTGGGTTCAGTTCCCAGCAGGGTGAAATGTTGGGCAAGTTTCATTACTCCACATGCCTCTGTTGCCCAGCAGTAAGTAGGAAATCAGTTGTTATTTGATTGGCAGATCACTTTTCCACGGGTAATAATTCCTTTAAAAAAATTGGTTACTCAATCCACGATTGATTGACTGTAAACAATTGGCTGCTGTGTTTTGTCCACAAAATATACAGTCAATTCACTTTACAGTATATTCTGTGAAGCGCTTTGAGACGTCTCGAAGACTTGATAAGGCGCTATATCAAATGCAAAGATTGTTAGTATTAACTCCATGATATCCATGATATTCTTTATAATGTTAATTATAAAGAATATAGATGGGATTCATTCCAATGCTGTAATTTAATCTCGGGGTCTAGATAAGGGAAATAATCCAATAAAATGCCATCCTTGCTTTATCATTCGTAACACTGATTACTCTGGTAATTTACTATATTACACGCATATGAAATTGCTCTTAGATGAACCATCCCTGGAGTCCTGTAGCTCAGTGGTTAGAGCACTCGCTTTGCAAGTGAGAGACCTGAGTTCAATTCCAGGCAGAGGGCGAAACCTTGGGCAAGTTTCCTTACTCCACACAGAGCCTAATAATAATCCCTCCAAAAAACAAAAACAATAATAAATTGGTCATTTTCAATCTACGACTGTTTGTGGGACATTGCTGTGCGCAATTGGCTGCCGCGTTCGCCCACAAATATACAGTCAATTCACTTTACAGTGTGTTCTGTGAAGCGCTTTGGGACGTCCTCCCGACGTGAAAAGCGCTATATCAAATGCAAGGATTATTATTATTATTATCCCAAACCAGGCTTTCTCCCCAGTATTTCAGAAACGGATATAGAAATATATTTATAGTCTGTGTGTGGGGGGGGGGGGGGAACAAGAAATAAATAAAACAAAAAATTTAATGTGCTAAGGAAAATGTATGGCTGTACAAGTTACTTCAGGAAGTTTAATTTGAGGTTTTGTAAGAGGAGAATGCTTGGTTAGCGAAGTTTGAACAGATTTCACGTGGTGCAAATTGGATGGAAAGTGTCTGTAGGTGAGTTTAATTCACAATGATTACTGTTAAGGGGGGGGAATGTAGTGTGAACAGGTGAGAGGTAGATAGATAACTCGTGTTTCAACTGCCCTCAGGACTCTTATTGTTTTGGAAATCTGAACCTGATGTAATGCAAACTCAACTCTTTGGGAGTTTGGCAATATTGCACTGAATACCAACAATGACTATTGTTAAAGTCCTCTGGGGATGTTATCTGTAGCAGCCAGAAACTGGGTGGATTTTGAGTTGGTGAAATTGACAGGTGGAGAAGTGAAAAAGCACCNTTTTTTTTAAAACCACCACTTTTTAATCAACTCTTGTGAATCATTTCCTTTATTTTTTAATCATTAAGAGCTGCCTGTCTGGCTTGTGTGTGTTGTTGTTAAATTGCCAGTTCACCTTAATTAAGAAGGTGGGGAAACATGTTTGGGATTTAGTTTGGGTAGACAATGTGACACCTTAACTCCCAGGTGTGGTTTCTCCATCGGTTTATTTCATCAAATAAACTGGGAATATTAAATGGTCCTGGAAAATATAACGTATTTCAATGCATTTCAATGACATTATTAGCTCTTGTGACGTCAAATGTGCTTTAAACTGGTGTAATTTTATCAGTCATTTTGCCCAAAGGGACCAGGTTTGACCATCGCACTTTTCCTCATCAGCAGTTTGGAAATGAATATAGCCTCAAATCTAAGCAATGAACAGATTAACGCACAGTTGTGTGCAACGAGTAATGTCCTGGACCAGAGTCTGAACAGTTCCTACAGTGGTCTGGACCACGACTTACTGACTCGCAGAATGATTATGCTCTCAGGCACCGTTATCTTTCTCCTCCTCCTCTTCCTGATTAGAAGACCGAAGATCACACGGGCCATGGTAAGTGAGCAGGTTTGATGGTGGTCATTGCCTTTCGGTTGGCTTGATCTTGGTGGCTCAGCAAAGACTGCTTTTTTTCTCTCTCTCTCTCTCTCAACGTTGTTATTTGTTATCTTCGAAACGGTACGAGTACATAACGTGCAAACTCTTCTAACCTGTGGAGCAATTGAGGCTTTATAAACCAGAGTGGATTCTGAACGAACTTCTTCCAGTTTTGTAATCTTTATATATATATATATATACATATATAAAATATATATATCAAATATATATATATATATCAAATATATATATATCAAATATATATATATCAAATATATCAAATATATATATATCTATATATATATATATCTATATATATATATATATCAAATATATATATATATATCAAAAATATATCAAATCTGTGCTAGGGAGGGAACCCCTCTTTTGAGCAGGTTAATATACTGTCTCCAGTTGTTGACTATGTGACTGAATAAGCATTGTTGTTGTCTCAAGTGATCTCTCTAACATTGGTAAGAACGAATACTGGATTTATTGCATGACTCAAGAATTTAGCTCCTGGTTTCTGGCTATTAAATCCATTAGGCTGCGGACTTTTCCAGTGAGTTTGAGGGTCTACAATGGGCAATCTGGTTACTTCGCTTAAAACAATGTTGTGTCCACTTTTATATTTATTATTACAAAGCATATATATCATTGTTTTTTTTTAAAAAATGAAACCTTTAAGGAAAATTCTGAGATTCCTTTACCGTTGCAGAAAATTACCCTAAATCTGATGTGCTGGATTTGGTTAAGCACGTTTGTTTTTGTATCTCTTTTTATTTATTTCAATTATTTTGACTTCTGATTGTCGTATTAAGGTATGGGAAGAAATGCAACAACTGTAGTTTGTTAAACCCATGATTTAAAAACAGTCAAGTCTGCAAAGGATAGGGTTTTTTCTCCCCCCACTCCATAGCTGGGTGTGACATCAGACTTTGGAATACAGATTGCCAAGAAAGGCTTGGTATCCTGGGTATTAGTAGGAGATGAAAATCTTCAGATTAATAAGAAAATGATAAAATCAGATTGTATAACGCTGTCAATTGTTTTGTTACTAAGCAACCTTTATGCACTTTGTCAACTTTTGAAGTATGAGAGAAGAAATCCATTTCTATTAATTGCTTTGCTTTCCCAACTATGATTGAGATGATTTTTATGAATATAATTGCTTGGTTGGTAAATCTTGCGAAACTTTGGGTTATCCTCCTAACATGAAAGGCACTGTATCAAGTACAATAATTATTGTTATATGTTGAAATAAGGGTTGTAAGATGGTTACACTAAACTTATTCTGAGCATGTTTGGAGTATTATGTTCAACTTTGGTTACTCATAAGAAAAACATTCATATTATGGCTGTGCACAAATTGGCTATTGTTTGCTTACAAATATAGTCACACTTTATAGAAAAACTCTAGGGCTTTAAACAAGTGTTTTGATGTAAGATGCTATATCAAACATAAGGAATATTCTATTATAAAAATATGCTTATTGATTTGAGGACCCAAATGAATGATGGTGCCAGATGAGATCATTGAGTTATTAAATTAAAGGAGCTAAAATCTAGGAGGAGGAGGAAAAGTTTAAAGAGATGCTATCCAGTTTTTTGAAATGTGCCAACTCTAACTTGGTACTGGGGAAACGAGAAACCTTTCACTAGTCCTTCCAGAAAAACATGTTTACAAGAAAGTCTTAAAAAGTTCTATGTGAAAGTTCCTTAGGCTGTGATCCAACAAACTAAATATAATATTTAGCTCACGTATTCCTGAGACCAAAAGAATCAAGGATGTTATCCTGTCCAAATTAAGAATGGAAGAACCAATTTAAACTCTAAACCCATCTGATTTCCACCCTCTATTCAAAGACACACAAGCTTTTTTTTAAAATAAAGTCTTTCTGGAATGTAACCAGCTCTTATCATCGTAATAATAATCCTTGCATTTGATATAGCGCTTTTTCTGTCTTTTGGATGTCT